ATTTTGCAGCTAAGGCCATTGAAACCAGGAATCTTAATAATGTTTTGTGTGGAATCCTAACCATGGTTAATTATGTATTTCATGAAAATACTGCTAAGAAATTTGAGATAATGAGGGATTCTTACTTGTTTCCACTTATGATTAATGAATTTTAAAACATAAAATAACGAATTATTTAAATACGGAAGATGGCCAACCCGACCAGTAGGCGATCGCTGAAAATGCCTGACCCTAGAAACGTCCCCGAAGGGAGCCAAAGGTAATTTATTTATAATGTTTATTATTCAGGTAATTTCTAACTAAACTTGGTACTTTATAAGTGATACTTAATGTCATAAAAAACTGAACCTAACCAAAAACAGATTTATAAATATCAACTCGAATCAGACATGTTAAAATACAAACAGGGGTGTCCATCCCCCCAAGGTTGATGGCGCATGAACCCTTCCCCTCCCAATATATTTTATAGCTCTCTTCTTCTTAAAAACAGTGTAAGCAGAAATAGAATTTTTAAAATAGTACATCATGTAAAATTATACTTGCTATGGTCTGTTCTGTTAGGATTAATTGATTGATGCTATTTGTTATTGTATATTCTACCTACAACACTGTTACTGGCAACACTGTCAGATGTGACGTCAGTGATCACAACAATGTATACTTCTCGATATGACTTCTATGTTTGTAGTGTTCTTCCACAATAAACGTTTCGTTATTGTCTGTGTTTGTTTCATAAAGAAACCCTAACCAATATTAGCATGTTCCATATTTTCACCTTGTCCTGTTGTTAGAAACTTTTTATTCCAAAAATTTGCTCCTCTCAAAAATTCAAAAACCCGTCAAAATGCGTTCCCCTCTAAACTTTTGATAGCGCAATTTGTGCCTAGAAACCTCCTTCTGGGCACTTTTGGACACAAATGAAAAAATGTAGGTTTCACTGACTCTCCAGCATTGACATAAGCGACAACGCATTAACACTATTCCCTTTAATATATGCTAAAATAACAATAATAACAAAATTCAATCACTTTGAACAGTCATGAATTAATACAATGATCTCTCTTGAAGTGAAAGAGAAGATAATTCTATCACCTTCCTTCGACGACGTCAAAACTCACTGTTTCGCTTTCTTTCTTTTAACACACTTATTTGTTTTCTCAAAGAATTAATTAACAATTATTTCCAAATTGCATAGTAAATAACTTGGATTTAAAATGTCAAAATTCAACGGAACAAGCATTTCCAGGCATATCTAAAAAACATTGCTCGTAAATCCTCTCGTAAAAACCGTAGGAATTGTTATCGTCACAACCATCTTTGAGAACACCTATTTTATCCTCAATTAATTCCCTTTTTTCTCCTATTTCTTCCAGGAAAATCCTCTTTAGTCCTATCTTGCATCTGTAAATAGTAATCGCGTCGAAACTTTTATGATTATAGTCTACAAAATAATTTTTACTTATTATATTTTGTTCTTATTTTAAGCTTTGCACAATACTGCATAATTTATGAATATGTAGCAATGAAATAATTTTAATTGAAGGATAAAAACAACACATTTTCTATAAAATTTAAATTTTATTTGTCACAAGTTTCGGCGACTGCTAGTTATCAATATCAAAAATACATTAGATACTCTTTTTTGTAACACAGAACAACGCTTAGAAATATAAAAAAAAAATATTCGTTTTCTTGAGGGAGGCATCTCTCCAGAATTCGCCAATCTTCACGATAAAACTTCAAATATATTGTAGTAAAACATCGTTGTTATTTATGATTATCAAACTAGTCTAAGTAGAAAGACATCAGCGTTAAGTTCTTTACGACCTTATTTTCTGTGTAGAAACGCGATGGACCAGAGCTTCGGCGGGAGTTTCTCACAGTACCCGATACTGAATAAGAACTACAAAAGTGAATTTTATTCTCGGATATTTAGCCCTCTACGAATAATGAAATGAACAACTGCCTGGCAAAAATGCCAAGAAATAGTTTAATTACAGAGATATCTAATCTTAAAATGAAGATTAGGACAAGCATAAGGAAACAGATCGCTTGCACTATATTAAAATAACGAATGTGAAACGCTGGTCAGATTAATGTTCGTTACCAGGGGTACCCATCCTGCTACCACCCCCCCCCCCCCAAGGTCCATGGCGCAAGAGCCTCCTCCCTCCCTCCCCAAGATATTTATTGCTCTCCTCTTCTTAAAAACATTAGAAATTGTTGTTACTACTTATATTTATTTTTTCCCTCCACAATATTTTCACTAAACTCATGGTCTACATTTAATCCTGTCAGTCTTTCAGTTCCGTGCAACTACTGTTAGAGTTTTCCGTTTGTCTATTTTCATCAAGTAGACTTTGTACAACTGACTCATCCTCATTTTCTACAAAAACAACATCCCCATTAGATTTCACAAGGATTATATTATTAAGGTCTCTACCTTCCATCATCTCTCTCTGGTTATTCTCAAAAGAGGGAAATTGCTGCTAGAGGAGAAACATAGAATTTTGTTTTGGCTGGGTCAGTTGTTGTTTGGCTGGTACCACCAGATTTCAAGAACTACAAGAGAGAGATCATCCCAGGGAGCTTGAGTTGAGTAGATGAAAGTGTTACCATTTTGGAAGGTGTGTTTGGCAGAATATGGGAAAGTGTTTGAATACAAATGAATTCAGTACCACTCAGGAAGAAACAGTGAAAAAAGGTTAGCTTTCCAATTCAGGCTTGACTTTATTTTAAAATTAAACAGTGTTTAGTGTTGTTAATTTTAGTTTGCTGAGTGTTTTGATCCGATTGTCAGTATCTCCTACCTTGAGATAAAATAATTATAAAGTTCAGTTTAATATATCAATATTCTTTTAATTCCATTTTTATTTAACAACTTCTTATTTCTTTTTTAAGAATCAAGTGATCTATCTAAGTTATATTATTAGTAAAAGTAAGGAGATATTACAATGTATATATATAAATGATGACTGGCCTACTGCTTCATGTAGGATGTTCTAACTTTTGTTCTCCCTAATATTTCATATGTGCTGTAATCTATATTTACAATAATTATAGTAAGGGCACTAGTTTTTAATAATATTTTCTCCTTTGTAAATTTTGAGGATATACTCTTGTAACATTTAATAACTATTATTTATAGAATAAAATCACTGTTCCAACATTTTAAATATCAATTTCCGGCCCTCAAAAGTTAAAAAATTCTTTCTCTCAATCTCTTAATTGAAATAACCCCATTCTTAAAAAAAACAATTATTTTCATTTAATAGAATAATTAAACTCTTTACTCCTACCTAACAATTTTATCTTAGCCTCTTAGGTGCTAAAAGTCAACCAACATCTCTATAGACTGTTCTCACCAAACGGTTGAAGAAAACTGGGCTAACTTACAACCACATATTTCTGGCCTAGGAGTGAGAAATTGTCTCTCTCCTCATTTAGTCTCTTTGTTGGCAAAATAAGTTTAATTCAATACACCCTTAAACTTATAAACTGACAAACCTTCAGCTGAATTTCCAGAGTTTTATAGAGCTGATGTGAGAGAAACCTATGAGCTATGCGAGACATTGATCTGACAGAGATTCCCATTTCCTGAGACATGATTTGTTTTTTTCGAATGGAATTTCTTCTGATTCGAGCAGCCTCTGCTCTCACTGCATTTACCGTTCTCACAGACCGGTCGAGGTCTGTCACATACAGATATGGTCTCATTATATCTATTTATAGTGAGGTACACGAACATATGCCTGATACCCAAAGTGTTGACTTTGTGTAAGGCGATCACAGCTATTCGGTTTTCTTTATCAGCCCACTCCATGTTAACTGAGCGAAAGAATAATACAAACTAATTGGGAGTATTATCAAGACATGTAAAAAAATAACTCAATAGAGGTGAGGATTATCTAAATAATACCCTAGGATGTAGACAAAGTTCAACTTTGTCCAACATTGTAACCATATTAATGACAGAACTAGGTACATATATACAATACATATATTGTATGCTATGCATACATACATATGTATACATATATTTAAATTAAGTCAATAGTTTGGTTTTATTAAAAAAAACTGACGATACGACCAATTATACAGACTACTGACCAGAAAATCTCAACTTTCAATTGACAAAAAATTACTGATCTACAAGACAATTCTGAAACCTATTTGGACCTATGGACTTGAACTGTGGGGGACAGCGAAATTCTCTAACATCAAACGCATCCAATCCTTTCAGTCCAAAGTCCTCCGAACGATAGTCCGATGCTCCGTTCTATGTAACCCACAAAACCCTACATCATGACCTTAATATCCCATTTGTCCTTAATCTTATCCCTGAAAAATTTTCAAAATTCCATCAGAACCTTATCAATCATCCAAATCCCCTAGCCCAATCCCTATTTAGTTCCACTCATCCCTACAACCCTCCTCGAAGGTTGAAGCAGCAGTGGCCCAGAGATCTTTTATAGTATTTATTTTGGAGTTCTGGCAATGGCCAGATTCTCCACTCAAGACATGAGTGTATGTGGCTAAAGCGCTCTCGCTCAAACTCCACCGGTTTTAGCACCAGTGAGATGGTTGAGAGAGTAGCGCAGGGATTTTGGTTCCCCGCCTGATTGCATATATTGTATATAGGTATAACTGTATTTTTAATTTACTTATATTTAGGTTATTTTATTTTATATACGGTGTCAATGTGTTCATTTATCAATATAATTATTGTCCCCGTGATAGAATATTATATGTCTAAATAAATAAAAAAAAATATGTATAATTTTTCAATCCATAATATACGGTAACCAAAAATATTTGATAATATTGGTACCAATAGCTCAACCCTCATTATTATTGATAACTGTTATATTAATAAAAGTAGTGATGTACCCATAACTTTTTTATTTATGATAAAACATCAACAATTCACTAGAGTTAGAAATATTTCTAAGGTTTAGTTTTCTTAATTATGATAAAAAGAAAAGAAAAGAAAATAAAGTAAAAGAAAATATAAAATAGTTTTATTAACAAGAAGTACAGTTCAAAAATATTATTTAAATCTTCAAGACAGCGAGAATCATACAGGCATGAATCAAAATATTACACAGCAAAAAAATTAAAAATAGCTCCTTATATTATCTAAAATAATATACAACATATAAATACAATAAAATGGCAGGGTACTGTTGCAAATATTACAAAAGTGTAAATTTAAATACTTTTCAATAGAATCTTAAAGTATGAAACAACAAAGTTAGGTGTTTATGAATAATACGGTTTTAATATATACAGGATCGCGTCTTGTATGACTTAGCAATAACGAACCCTGAAAAAAAAAAAAAAAAAAGATAATTAATAAATCTATAAAAAATAGTATACATAAAAATTTAATACAATAATTAATTATATATAAAATAAATACTAAAGTTAAAAACAATGTTTATAGAGTAATAATAAAACTAAGACAAGTCAGCTAATTAGCTATTCAGATGTTTTGGATGAATTTCACATCTTGTCTTATTTAATTGAATTAAAATAACTGAACAATTCCTGTACTAAAGTAAACAAAAATATTTCTTTTGAAAAATAATCAAGAGGAATCAAGAATTGAACTATTAGTTCCAAATTATCAGTTAAGCATCGTAATAAGTAAATATGTGTTTCATGTTTATGTGAACAGATGGTGAAAAATGGATATTCTAGGAAAGAAACAGTTGGATTCCCTTTTTTTTTCTATGAATACTCACAGAATTTTTATGAAGCAAAATCTAATCTAATTCTAAATAAAGAAAATTTAATTAGCTGTAAAAATTACTCTTATAAGTTAGAAACAGTTACTGTTCTAATGACCTTTAAGGAAATATTATTGTAATTTGTCTTCATTCGCAAATATTAATATTATGAATGATTCAATAATTAAGAAAAATGATAATTTGTGTATAGGATTAGATGCCCAATGCTGGACACCACTATTCACAGAATGTATGTTGTTATCGCAAACTATTAATTTAGATATGTCTCTGTATTCCTGAAGGATTAAGGATCTGTAATCATGCCTAAATGGAAAAACTCTTATGAATCTAATAAGTCAAATCAGTGTTATCATGATGCAGTCAGAAGCAATCGTCATCAAAATCATTAATCAAAAGTAATTGATTTATTCAACCAAGTAAGAATAACATGTACTTTTGAAGAGATGAAAGTATGATGAAGATATACTCCATATTCTATACAATTAGAGTATTTTTTATATGTGGCAACTAAATATTTCTTAAATGAAAATAACTACTTACTAATCTGCTGTCATACAGATTGGTTTAGGAACTATTCCAAAAGTTGTATCGCAAGAACATTCCAATGGTGCATTCCTTTCTAAAATGGAAGAGACAATTTTTTCAGCAGCAACCTCTATCAGTTCAGCCTTCTTTGGTGATTCTCTTACTCCATCAGCATTTATAGCATTTCCATTTGTCTAAAATAAAATAAAAAATTCAATTATTACCATTAATATAAATTTAAGAATAATTGAGTAGATTAACTTTTTTTAAAATATAAAATATCACATTACTGTTAAAAACCTTAAATATAGCTGTTAAGTATTAAGAGATCAATTAATCTTGCACAAAGAGGCGGGGTGGCTGAGCGGATAAACTCATGTGCACAGTGAACTGTGCGTTTTCTGGCAACCTGTTAACCGAAGTTATACGGACTAAAATAAGTACAAGTTTGTGTCTCGGTGCCAGTGGGGTTTTTAACTCTGTCATTAATACCCCGCTCTCACCCCCTGGTCCGGGAAAACCCATCATAGCCTATAAGGGGAGAACGTGGAGGAGGGAGAAAAAATTAATCTATCCTACAGATCAATTAACCACATTAGACCTCTCGATCTTTAAAAATGTATGGTCACTAGGTATATGGTAACGAGTTCTTTGGAAGAAAATTTATATCATATCACCTCAGAATAACACATCTCAGCTATTCACTGTTATCCAGCTAAAAAACATGTTATCCAGCTTTCAGTAAAAACCACAATGGAACAACAGTTCATGCTTATAAATTGACTATTGAGGTGAACTTTAATTTAATTTTAAAATGTTGTTATCTTCTTAATTATAAACTGATTTTAGCTATTAGCATTGTTAGCAATTAAAAACAAGCCAATGGACCAATCTATTGTGTTGAATTTTTTAATCCTCTGAATAACGCTACCTTATTGTTTTTACAATTACAATTACATTTCACTACTTTCTGATTCACTTCAGTCTTTACTCTTTATTAGACATTGCGGTAAACAAGAAACTGAGGGAGAGGACCCAAATACCTGACAGGTAGGCACAATAGCAAAGGTCTCACATAACTACTTGTTGGAAGTTGAAAAGTCCAAGATTAAATAAGATAAAGCAAGGAAAAAAAAATTAAAAAAAAAAAATTAAGTACTTAAAATATAAATGTCTTTATTACCTCATAAGCAAGAGTGACACACATATCCTGGTATGAATAATGGGGATCAGCAACCTTCTCACCTCCACAAAGAACACTTTCTTTTTCATTCAAAACTGCAAAAAAATAAAACCAATGAATAACTATTTCATGATATAGATTTTGCATAATGATAATAACTGATGAAGTCGGACTGAACATGATTCCCAAATAATGTAATAAGTAATAATAATATAACTAAATTTCATAAATTATATAAAATTTTGATCTACAAAGACAATTAGTACATGTATATTAGATTAAAATTTTCTTCTTTAAGGAGAAAGATTAAGGTAAATTTATTATCATATATAAAAATAAATTATTACCTGCAACTTCACCATTTCCTACTTTCACTCCTTTCATTGGTGCTATAAGATTATAAGAAATGTCTCTCAATTCCAATTGTATTGCATTGATTGTCATTGCTGCAGCTGTTCCCTAAAAAATAAGACAGATTTATAAATAGTACCTACTACATATTTAATATTTCATAGGTGTATATTTTAATTCAATTCGAAATTGTATTAGTGTTTACTATTGATGTTAGATTAATTTCCCCCTTTTCTAACTGTAGAAGAATTCCCTATTTTCTAACTGTATTACTCATACATGATAATATTCACTTCGATAACATTAATTTCGCATTCTTAGCACACAAGATGCTGCTCTTTGATTTGCAATTATAGTAATAAATTTTGTATTATGCTGAATCTTGAAACAAAAGCCCATTGCAAAACAGAATACATGGAGGAAACCTAAATAGGATCAAATTCATCATTCCAATTCACAAAATTAATGAGTTAGTCTCAAAACTCAAATTCACCTCTGAAAATATTGAATTAGTGAAAATAGTAGACGACTCATCACCATGGAATATCCTTCCTAAACCTGAGATTGTCCAGACAGTTTCAGGATTCATGTGAAAGGAGCCCTCTGAACCCCAATTAATGAGATCCCTGCCCTTGAAGATACTAAATAAGAGATATCCCATAACTTCATGAACCCAGAACGGTTGCCATTGCTAATGGAGGAGCAGGAATACACATAGAATTTCCGGCTATCATCACCCTATGCAAAACTACTCCATTTGCATGAATTTCAAGGCTGAACAGAGCAGCAGAATAATGAGGCAATTAAAAGGAATCCAAACTCTAAAATTTCTGTCAGATGTGGCATCAGTACTTCAGCTCATCAAATCCAAATTGAAATCCATGCACCACACTTTTGCAGAAGAAATTGAAAAACACCAACCCCAATGTAAAATAATAGTACTCCAGTGGATACCATGGCCCTGCAGACTATGGAAATGAGATAACGGATCGAGTAAGAAAGGAAGGATCTAGATTCTCTCTAGTAAATTACATTCAGAAAAGTATTGTTACAATCAAACTTTCATTCAAAAGCTAATTGTATTTATTATTTACATTCTTGAACAATACTGGATCTCTCTTCTCATGCTTTCTTCTATTATTATTGGCAAGGTCAAAAAAACCAATGACTATTTTATAAACAATTTTACTATTTACAGTAGTATTCATTTGAACAAAACGGATCTAAACTATGATGATGCTCGTCCTCTCAAGGGTGATGGTGCATACTCCCTCTCCCAGAAATTGTTATTATCCTCAACTTTTAAAAAATGGTGCTAGTAAAAGTAGAATTTTAAAAATGTAGTTAACTTAAATCGACATGGTTTATTTCATGTTTTTCATTTGCACCCTTTTTAAAAAGTCCCTCCCAAATACAGACCTCACAAAAATGTGACTCCTTCCAAACATTTATGATTCATTAAAAATTTTCCTCTCAAAATATTTATGGGGAAACTAGTGCCATGCTAACCTCTTCTGGAAACTCCTCAAACTAATTATTTTGAAAGCATAAATCATAAGTTATTTTATGATAAAGATCCTTACCACACTTGGCCCTGAACAAGGTAACCCATGAACACCAACAATTGCTTTCAGAGCGTTAGGTCTGAATACAACTTCTTTGAGAACATCTTGGTACATCATATTTCTTGCAGTCAAGCCTGGAATATTATTTGAAACTAAAGTTGAAAAATAAAATTGACAAAGAAACAGAATAGATCATTTTTTTCTTTCATTAGGTTTAGATTAAAAAATAAATAAATAAAAACTATATCAATATGATAAATTCTTATTAAAATCATAGTATCCTACCTGATTCTGATAAGAGGTGATTAAATAACAATTGGATTTGACCTCCAACTGTTTCATTGGTAACTTTTACTCTTTCTACAAAATTAACATTGGCGGAGGCAGGATCATAGGCTAATTCACCTTGTTTGTTAGAATAGTAATTATGGTATTTACCCTTGGGTTTATTTCCACCAACTAAAGTTACATGTACATCACTGTAACATAACAGAATTATAATTATTATAGCTTTCAGTAATCTAAAATGTATATATAATGTCTAAAATTTAATGAGGTTTAAACAAATGACAATACTGATTTTTTACATAGTTTTAAATGTGTTTTATTTTTTTAACTTCATTCGAGATTGACCACAATATTATTTATTAAACGCAATATCATAATAAAAAATATTATACTGAGTAACTTGCATAGCTGAGGTGTTTATTATTTCTGTTCAAAATACTAAAGTGTTCAAAAGCATCTCAAAATACTCATTTCTCTCTGGTAAAAATAAGAAGAAAGGGAGTAATATCGTTATAAGAAAAATATGAACATCAACTTAAAGGAAAAATGAACAAGTTGGAGGAGGTGTGTGGTATTCCATTGACAATTATGTAAGATGGGGAAGCTGTTGTTTTTATAGATAGCGTCTTCTACAATTAATGTCATAGTATTTGACACATCTATGAGAAAATCATTCCAAAATATTAAGCGTAAAATTAGAGAAGTACACACTAGATGTTCATGATGTTAAATAACTATATCTTTCTCCTGAAAACTAGATTTTTCTATTTTTTTTAAATGTTGCTGAGATTAAATTACTTTCAATCTCACGTTTTAATCATGTCCATTTTTATGAGACTTATAATTCAATTTGGTAGTATCTAATGATGGTTCATATGCCCCTGCCTTAAGAGGTAAGTGCATATGAGGTATCTGGAAGACTTATTATTCACGTCGTAGTGACTGTAGGGCAAGTTAGTACAGCTTTACCATAAAATTTAAAGATCTAACTTAATCAACAGGTTGGAACTGGTTTCTTTACAGTTTTTTATGCTTCACCTTTAGAAAATCTAATGGCTGATTAGTGAAAAATCAATGTTTACCTATCATGCTCCTTAAAAAGTTATATATCAGCTTATAACAGTCCAGTGTTTGAATTTAACAAAACAATTACACACTTATTCCACATTGTCCTCATTGGATTAATGGAGTATTATTTTAATTATGTTTACTATAAATATTGGAATCAGACTCTTTGGTTCACTTAGCCTTTATTTATTACCATAAATGTAAAAAGATTATCAGGAAATAATCATGGTCCTGTTATATGTATCATAAATATTTTACTATTAAAATTATAAAAATACACAAAAGATGAGGAAAAAGATCAATAGCACAATCCGTAAAGAAACATTACAGTATTATAGCAGATATTCAAAACGAGAGGAGAGGAAAACCACTAATATAATCGTCTCCAAACTTAACCCAAAGCAAGGAAGATCCAAATACAGGATTCAAGTAATTAAGGATGGAAGTTGAGAAAAAATAATAATAAAAAATAGTGGAATCAGTGAAAATAATACCACTGAGATTTTTTTTATGTACAGGACAATCAAATCAATTATTTTGTGCAGTTGTGATCTCCTGGATCCATCTTGAGTGTTCATGGTTTTTTTTTCTTTCATTGAATATAGGAAGAGCTAAGAAAGATATCGATATATCCAGTGGTTTGGAACATACCACAGATATTGTGTTATAAGGATAATACTGGTAGAAAAACTAACAAAGCAAGATAAAACATTGGAAAGAAAATGACGATTAAGATTAAAAATTTTGGAAAATAAAAGCAGAAAAAACACTATACTTCTGAAAATGAGTTAATCAAATATATTTACCTAATGCCTTTCTTTCCTAATTGGCTTTTTAATGCTGCGACCAGAGGTACAGCTATTTCTTTATAATTTAGTTCATTTTCTTTCATTAAGTCAGCTACCAACACAATATCAGCAGCATTTTCAGGTTTGACACTTACAGAATCACCAGCATCTACTTTCTTCCCATTGATTTCACAAGTTGCTGAAATCATATTAATTTATTTCTTTTCATTAAAAATACAAATCTTATGAAAAAAATTAAATTAAATTTTATAATTTGCTTAAGTGCTTAAGTTAGTGAGTCTGGTGTTTCTACGTTATTATTTATTTTTGAGTGGGAATGGGAAGGATGGGATTTTCCATAAAAATTGTCAAAAATGTTATTAAATTTTTTTGAATATATGAAGATCTACATAGAAATAAAAAACATTTATTTTACCAATGTAGAACTTAATTTTACAGTTGTAGCTAAAAGATAAGTTTTATTTTGTGAAAATAGCTTCCGGTTTCTATACTAAATAAAACAAATAAAAGATGTGTATTTTAGGTTAGTTTCTTGGATTCTACAGATTTTAATTTATGGTTTTAGCAAATAAACTTTAGTACAACTACATAATAATTAATTAACAATTATTTTTTAAAATATTTGCAAAATGCACAAACCAATACTTCAATTTCTATTAAAATTATCTTAATAAATTGTGCTACTGCCACTGGTATGCATCACAACTTTCATTCACCTTCCAATACCCTCAAATACGTTATTAACTAAATCCTGAGGTATATTCCATAACTTTTCAAAAACAGCTTTTTCACATGTACTAGAAAAGGAATTGAGGAGATTTAACATTACTCAAACTTGTTTGATCGAATTGAGGTCTAGATTTTTCATTGACCATTCCAGTAATATTAACTAAGATATGATGATATGATTTGATAATAAATACTAAAGTGAATTTCTCCAAAATGTAGTAGGTTATGATTTGTTTTCACCTAAATTTACTTGAATTATATCCAGATTTTACGATTCTAAGTACTGTAAGAATATCAACATTTCCTTGATCTATTTATTATGAAATGATTTTACCATCTGCTTATTTTTATGACATAATTTTTTAAAAAATGTTAATTGAATAAATACAATATAAAATTACTTCCACAAGCAATTACATACCACATTGATCAGGAAGGCGAGCCAGCAAAACTCCTTTACGATAACAAGCATAAGCATATGCCTTACTCACAGAACACGCTGCATTTTCTTTATTACTTAAGCGAGATGCTAAATCATCACAGGCATCACGGAATGGAGCAGGATTAACAAATGGCCTGCATAGTCTGTTTAAAAATAAAACCAAATGAAATTACCAAGTAAATACATTTAAAATTAAGTATTATATAAGTATTAACTTTAGAGAAATTAAAAGAAATAAATCAAAATAAAATACATGAATAGCTTACACTGTCAATGGATCATCTACAAAAATATCAGTACACACAGAAACTCTATTGTGCTTATGTTGTCCTGATGGACATGGTGCACAGGAGCCATCCAGTTTCCAAGAATTAGCCAGGTCACCACTGTTTTCAACAATCTAAAAAGAAGCATTAGGTACTTTTATTTCAAATTTTAGGGTTTATCAATGCTGGATATAGAATACCTTAATGCTGTAGTGTTAAAGTAGTTTTTATTAATTAAGACAAAAAACTAATTGAAATAAATTCGAATTAAGAGTATATATTCTATTTACAAAATTATTGCTTTCCATTTAGAAAAAAAGAAAAGGAAAAGTGCCAAGAATATTTGTCATATAATCTAATTGTTTTTAGAAATATGAATTCAATACCTTTCCTTCTGGTGTCATCCTTTCATCATAAGTTTCTCCATTAAGATTTCCCAAAAGACCTCTCAATCTTCCAAAATAGAATCCAGATACTTCAATGCCACAATTATCAAGGTTATGAGAGCACATGACAACAACACCTGCTTTACTGGCAAATCCTATCAGTTGAGGACGCTTCCATGCCCACAATTCTCCTGCATGGGCCGGGAAGGTAGAAGCTTGGCCGTTAACTAGTGGCTGTAACATATTTAACATTATTAATACATGATTATGTTATTATTAATTAAGTATAAAGAAATGCATTTACAGTTCCAGTAGATCTGATTTCGATTGAATCTTTTCCAGCAGTCAAAGTAAGTGATTGAAGAGCTCCATTTTGCATTTGTCCAACTAGAGAGAAATTCCTGTCCTTGTAATCTTCTGAGAGTATGTAACTGCAGGTTCCTTGAATATTCATGTGAAGTCCATCATATGTAATTACTTCAGTTCCTCCAATAATAGCACCAATTCCTACAAATAAAGTGATTTGTAAATAAATAATAAAAAAAGGCAAACTAATTTGGAAAATCTAAACATTGCCTTCTCCATATTTTTCCACATTTTTGATTATCTCCAACATGCTGGTGAACCTCTGGTGTCAGACGAGTTAACTGTTCGTCTGCATATTGGTGAATAAAGATTTTATGTATGGATTCTTCCAATTACATAATAATAAGTAGAGCAGTAAATTTGTTTTTGATATGATTATAATTAAATTCAATTTTTATTATATTGAATTGTTAATGAGAATTTATGAGATGTTTTGAATATAGTGCTACGCACTGAAATGTTCTTGATGTTAAAAAATAAAAAAAATGTGTAATTGTTGTAAGAGTTAAATTTGCTTATCAACAATTTTAATTAGCTATTACATTTTCTTGTAAAAGCAATAAAATGAAGGTTATTTTACTACTTAAAAATTTAAGCAACAGAATGAAAGGAAAAGGCCCATTTTAAAATAGGAATGTAATCAGTGTAACAATTTTTTTACTTCTTTAAATTTTTTTATTATAAACATACTTAAAAAAAAAAAAAAAAAAAAAACTAAGAAAGTAAATTTTATAAAATGTCAATAATTTTTTTTACCATGCTGTTTTCAGAATAAAATTAATATAACTAAAATAAGCAAGTAGCTAGAAAGGAGACATAAACTGATTACGTTATAAATGGAAAATTCAAATTATAAAGCCATGAGTCTCTAACATACAGGTGAGAAGTTAAGCTGCCTATTTTGATATTTTTATTTCTCTATTTATAACATTAATATTTATATCACTAAAGGACCGAAACTTAGAGGTATGGACTTTTATTGGAGGGGTGGAAGTAAAAGATGGGGGTAGTGAAATTAAACTTGCCCATTCTAGAAAAAATCCTATTTCCATTCATGTAATAATATGGTTTGTATAATTATCTTTTTAGCCGAAAAATATTAATTTGACTTAATATTTATAATACAGGTATACTAAGGAGTTCAAATCATTGGTTTATTTCACAAAATCATGAAGTATATATGATTTTGTGAATTTCAAACTTATTTATCAATAAAAAACAGTAAGTGCACTAGAATGATACAAACCCTTTTATATATTAAATATAGTTACAATAAGCACTGATTTAGAATGGAAAAATTTATCAAAGTTATTAGTGATTTACAGTCATAGTCATAGAAATTGTATCAACTATTTCTTTTGATTCTTATAATGATTGCTTTGAATCCATCAAATGTTTTTGTTTTTCTTTACTTATTTAGGTTACAAGAAAGCTTTAACAATGTTTCTCAGTTCAGTTCTAACTAATGCCAGGATAAAACCTATAATAATGACCAGTTTTTAATACTGTCGTCGTCAGAAAATATTAAAATTATGACGTTACATGAAGTGGAGGAATTTTCATAAAATAGGATGAGTACTGAGGATAGAGTACCACCAATCAACGGTACTGATAATTTTGAAAAAAAAAAAAAAAAGGCACAATATAGTGAAAGAAAGGAACTGAGGGGGAAAAAAAAGTACAATTTGATTGCTTAATAGTGCAATTGTTTTTAGAATATTGTTTCAAAGCCAGCAAAGAAATATTCCGAGATCTTGCAGATAGCAATCTGGTATATAAAATAAAATTTTTATTAGGTGATGCAAATTCTATGACCGCGACTTTAAGGTTATGAAATGTTACTTAATGACTTTTTGCTATAAACCGATGAAATATTCTTAATAATATACTTTAAAGCCGCATCTTAAGAATATCTCTTAATATTTTTAATTAATTACCTGGATATGGTGGAATGTAGTCAACAGGATTCAATGAAAGTTTTATTCCAGCAAGGATCTCATTCAAGCCAGGTAATGACTGTCTATTGGTCAAAAAGTTTACAAGACTAAACCTTATTCCACCAGAGGGTAAACGGAGGAGGTGCAGAGGCAATGATGTTTGCTGTAATATAATTAAATTATTATTCTTCAAAAATTTCAAGAACGAATGGAAAAATTTATATCAAAAAGATAAATTACCAATTTAGCTGGTTTTAGTAAACCAGTCTGAGGAGTATTTTGGGCTAATAAAGCAATTATAGACCTAATGGCTGCAACTAATTCCTTATATAGTTGTTTAACAACCTCATCTTTGTTTGGTATGTCTTCCCGTTTTAAAATCTAAAAGAAACATTAGTTAATGTTACTAGAATTAGTTCATTTATCTAATATATGAGTATAAGAATAGAAAATTATGTATGTAGAAAATAATCAATTACCTTTTCTACAACATTTGTTAATGTGTCAAGGAACTGACTTGCTTCTTGTGTTGGAAGAAGTTGCTTAAGAGCCTCAATCAATTCATGATAAATACTGAAAACTTCTTCAGGAATCTGTAGATCTTTAAACTGGAATACAATCAGAAACATTAATACAATCTGAAAATTCTAAAAACAAAATATATATCAACTATGTTTACCTCTTTGAGTCTTTCCTGTATATCTGCAACAATTGGCAATTCACCTAAAGTTTCAATGCTTTGCTTGACTAGTTTTTCTAATTCTGAATTAATGGTTAGTACGACTTTTCCAACCAATTTACCAATATCTAGAATTTAAAAAAATAAATTAATAATTTACACATGAAGTTTTAGACATAAATATTTGTTTTTTACTTTGACTTAGCACATTGATATTTAAAGTTATATATTGATATATAACCGTGTGATTATGTGTTGAAACTTTAGCAAATAATAAAAAGTTTCAATAGTCTTTATTATTAATTAATTTCAGTTGACAACTTTAAAATATATATATATATCTATCTTAGCAACTTTTTATCTCTCCATGTCCTTTATGGGAAAGAAGAATATAGGTCAATATTAGTAATTTCAATCTTTTTATATAGACAATCTCTACATATTAATACAGATGCCATCTCTTTTGAATTTATGTTCTGCATCTGCTCATGGTTATAGTATGTAAGATATTTACTATTATTATTTATTTATTTGAGCTATTCCTTGATATTTTTCTGTGAGGAAAAATGTTCATATTTGAAAGATCTGTTTTAACTTAAAATACGTTTTATCAAAGAGCAAGTAAAACTTTAATGAATTTAATATTGAAATGTGTTTAGTAATTAATCTGATTGTAAAACTTTTTGGTAAATTATGATTAATTTTTTTAAACTAATTTTATTTCTAGAAGAGAAACTGTAACTTCTATTATTTAATTGATAACTTGTACCACTCAATGTTACATTACATACACATGTAAACATATAGTAATATAAATGAAGACAACAACTATAATCCTACACACTTACATATTAGTAATTTGAGAGAAAACTAACCTTGTACATAACCCACAGTAGCATCTGCAATTGCCTTTATATCAGCTTCATGTTCTTTTAGTTTATTTGAAATCAAATCTGCAATCTGTACAGACAACTTTATATATTGTTCCAGGAGTCCATTCAAAGTCTTTGCTATTCTCTGGAAACTTGGCTTGATTTTCGGGAGTATTTCATTAACTGATGCTCTGATTTGCTCCACTGATTCTTTAATAAGTTGTGCGATAGATGTACAGAAGCGATTTAATTCTTCAGCTATACTTATAATTTGTTCTCCTAAAACTCCAGTTACCTCTTTCCTGCAACAATTGTGAATAAGTATTATTTCTATTGACTATTATTTAAAATTTGAAAAAATATTTATAATTTTCAGATTTCATTCTGTTGCTTGTTGTGGACAATGGTTAATCTTTAAATTTAAATTTTTCATATTCAAGAATTATGACCAGAATAATGCAGATACAATAATAAAATTCAAATCACTTAAATTAGACGTACAATAGTTTACTTCTGACTTACAGGTCATTTTTTTGTGCTACTATACTCATGTGTCACACTGCTACATCAAGAAAGTCAAACTAAAAATTGATTCTAACTAGTATCTTTTATAATGAAATAACATAAGCACCACCAACATACAGATAATACTAAACTTTAGACTGCTGCAATTGAAAGTAAGAAATACAGTAGGTACTTAATTCTAATAGCATACTAACCAAGCACCTAGTCTCCAAAAGTTACTATCAAGGACAGGTTTTAAACATGTATTATCAAATACCTAAGAACTAGCTGAAGTGCACAGCTAATAGGGATTGACAACCCTCATTCTCATCACAAAACTCCATATAGCCGAAAAAGTGAGGAAATAAAAGTTTGGTATCTTCTCTAGCTGGATGGGAGGAGAGTTGCTTGGAAAACCTATAAGACTTGTGTATAGGGGAGGTATTTTTTTTTTTTTCAAGAGAAGACCTAGAGGAAGATCCCGAATCTCCTGGGAAAAAAAACAGCAAAATGCATTCCACAAGTGAGCAGTGTAATGGAACAGAAAACAAAAGTTGGTACAGGAGAAATCCACCTGGTCCATGCTTAACAAAAGGTAACATTACACCGCATAAGCAGAAAACAAAATAGATTATGATGAAGTGCATTTAATGTTTATTCTTAATCTATTGGAATAAATTTTATATAAAACTTACAGAAATTGAGATGCTTCTTTTACTGTTTTATCGCTAGCTATTTCATCTCGTATTTGGCTTAATTGAGATTGGAAATATTGACCAACTGCGTTGGGATCAGGTAGTGATTTACTTGCACAATGGAAAATGTGTTTTATGTCTTCAGATTTCTTTTCAGCCAGATTAGTTATAGCTTTTTCACCTTCAACTGCCAGAACCTTAATTTCATTAACTAATACACCCTGTAAATACAAAGATAATATGTTATTCAGCAATTAAAAAACTAAAACAAAGTTTTCAAAATTGAAAATACCAATTCAAATATTTCCGATTCATTAAATTTAACAAATATTGAAAAATTTACATTATACATGAAAAAGTGGCCAACTTAAATTTTTTTTAATGCTTAATGAATTTTTTTCATTATAGCTATTTTTCAAAGTTATGTTTATTAAAATCAACATTCTCCTTTATGTTTTTTTTAGGAATTTGATAGTCTGGCACCCGGGACTGATGTACAAACTCTGTAAATTCATACCCCCTACATATATCCTCATTATTCATTCCTGCCTTACTGACAGATACTTAAAGGTAAATCATGACAATGCTTATTCATCTCTTTTTTCTCAGTTTTCTGGTGTTCCTGAAAGTAGTATCCTAGGCCCTATCTTTTACACAGTTCATACAGCTGACATTCCAACACTGTCAGCACCACCTATGCCGATGCCACATGTATCCTATCTGTTAATAATGATCCATCAATTACATCCCAAAATCTTCAATCACACATCACAAATCTTGAAGAATGGTGACAAAACTGGAGAATTAAAATAAATTCCAATGAATCCCATCAAATTATCTTTACTCTTCCCCGTAAACCTTTGACTTCGTGTCCTTCAGTATCCTTTAACAATACCTCACTTATTTCTGTTGAACAAATCCGATACCTAGGACACCACCTGAACAAACGACTCAATTGGAATCCTCATACCAGACTGAAACGACTTGAAACCGCATGACGTTTTCGAATACTGCAGCACTTACTAGACAAACGCTCTAAACTTCCAACTATTTATCAAAGACTCATGTATATTACTATAATCAGGCCTATTTGGACTTATGGGATCGAGCTTTGGGGCTCTAAACCATCAAATTTCTCACGTATCCAATCCATACAATCCAAAATACTTCCTAAAATCTTGAATGTTTCCTAATTTATCACAAATAAAATCATCTATAACGACCCTAATGTACTATATGTTTTCGATTTAGCTCAATACAGATACCTATCCTTCCATAATAAATTTCTGGACTATCAGAACCCTCTTGTTTCTAACCTTGCCTCCTCTTCTATTCCTGATAACCCTCCAAAGCGTCTGAAAAGAAGATGGCCTCAGGACCTTCTAATATAGAAGTATAATTGGAGTGCTACCAATGGGTAGTTTCTCTTCATGCTGTACATATCATGGTACGAATTTCATATTTACTTGTTCTATTTTTCATTTAATAAAGTTGTGAATTTCAATAAATTAAAAAAAAAAATGTTTTTTTTTACTTTATTTTTAGTTTGTTAATTATCAATTACCAAAATTTTATCATAAAGAGTTTCATGTTAACAACTTACGTATATTGATTTTGCAACTTCAATGTCATATGAATATTTCGATTGCAAGAAATTTGTCTCATCTAAAGCCACATCAAAACTGCAAGCTTTCTTTTCATTCAAACTAGCCTTTAGAATACCGCTACCTCCAAGTTTCAAAGCAGCTTCAATTTCAAGTGTTTTGCCTCCTGAAAAGTGTTAAGTAGTTAGATATTCATAGAAACTTTAATCAACGAAACTGATTATGTATATAGATATCCAACTACATATGACCACTCGTCCAAAAATCTTTTTCTTGAAATATTACCATGAAATCAAAACACAGGTTAGGTCCATAAGTAATTATACAACAATTACTAAATGGTAAATTGTAAAATTTCAAATAATCCAAGTCAAATTTATCTGTTTGGATACAATCATAAATATGGAAACATTTCATAAATATTGGCATGTTTTGTTCCCTTCAGTCTATAAAATCGATCTACGATTAAACTGGATTATTACTCTCTTATAATTTACTTATTTAATTTATTACTATCTTATAAATTATGCCCTATTTTCCATGAAAAATAATATTATTTTTTACCTTCCAATCCTGAAAGTTGATATTTGAGGAGATTTGTATCCTTATTGAGAGTAAAGGTTTCAGTGTATTTTTTTCCAAACATATTTAGTGTTCCATAGTAGCCTTTGTCTAGACGGTAATCAATATCCATTACTGCTATTTCAGGATCACGGTACTAAGAATGGACAAGAGTAATTTATATTTTTAAATTTGTTTTCAGCACAAAGTTATAAAAATTATTTAACATTTATTAACTACTAATTACATGCAGAAATCATTACAAAATACTTTTACAATAATCTGATAATTATTACCAAGCTTTGTATAATGTTAAAAAGATTTTATACCAAGGAATAAAAATAGATTCATTTCTATCACTCAAATATATTTAAAATTAATTTAAAAAATAATGCACCAATAGTGTAAATGTTTATCAGTAAAACGAGAAATTTAAAAAAAAAATATATCATCCATGAATGAAAATGAGGTTATGCTTTCCATTTGGAAAGGGTTAAGTACAACATTTACTCACCACTAATTGGAATTTCTGAGGAGTAGTGTCCAATTTCACTAATATATCATGTTTGGTATTTTTGGAATCTAAGTAGTTGATAGCTAAATTGTAAAATATGTTGCTGTCTTTTCCATTTATCACGACCTTAACCTTTTCTTCAAGATGAATATCGATACCGCACTCCTTAACAAATGAATATTTATCATAATATTAGTTGTATTTTTGATATATTTACTTACACATACATGTAATTTGTAAATATAAATTAGCTTACTTTATTTTTTACATCGATCACAGTAAGATGATTATCTTTAGTACCAGTTAACTTAATTTTGCCAACTAATTTACTGTTTGGGTTCTTGGAAAGGTCAATTTCAAATATGCCATCAACAAGTTTTGAAGATTTATCACTTATTTGTACTTGGCCCTTGACAACGAGGTCCTAAAAAAATAACATAAATAAAGATTTTGTATTTATTAATAAAGTTAGTTGAAATTGAAAAACAAATCTGATGATCTCAACAAATAAAGATAATATGCTCACCTTAGCCAGACTTGGATGGGAAACCTTAGATTCCCCAGCGAATGTTGCAACTCCTTTGTCATATTGGGCTGTACTAGCAGCAACAAATGACCATTTAGGTTCTTTTCCTTTATTTAAGTCAAGACCTGCCTCAAACTTCATGGAAGCAACATTTTCCTTTTTACGCAATATTTCATACTTCAATTCTCCTCCGACTGTTCTCTTTGGAAGTGTCACGTATACACCTTAACAATTAATGAATTAAATTATTTAAAAAAAAAAAGAGTTATCTATTATTGATTTGATAAAATTAATTTATAATTTAAAACTATAATTGATACCCTTCTTTTTGGTTATGGTAATGAAAATTTAATATATCAAATAAAAATCTCAGTAAGCCTCAAGGCAAAAGAAGTGCATCAATCATAGTGTATATATCATAAATGAATAGTTAATGAAAAGATTCCAGCTCGTAAATAAATAAATGCAGCACCAAACAAGGCAACCCTAGGATGCCACAACAACGGTATTATAAAAGCTTCAAGCTTCTAGAGCTTAGGTGGGGAAACTTTTTACTATTAGGTCATTTAAATTAGACAGGTTTTTGGAAAGCAGTTTCATGTGCTCTTTAGTTATGTATTCTTCAGTGTTTTCATTTTTAGGAGGTTGTGATGGCTGAGAGTGTTGGAGCATTGCCTGTTGAAGCATTCTCGTGCCTAGCGACGCCAGTTTGAATCCGTCATGGGAAGAGTTGACTTTTATTTTGTGGTGGACCCACTGAATGGAACTCATTCTTCCCACACTGGTTAGAATATAGAATAATAGAGTTGGTTGTACCTCTAAAACAATCTCCCCGTAGGCCAGAAATGGTGGGTGGGAATAATCCAATAAAAAAAAATGTTTTTCTCATTTTTACACACAGCAACTGTATTTATCTTTCTTTGCTTGATTCAAAGAAACACGTCTGTTGATTGTAGAAAACCTGTTGCTTTTTAATGAAGGGCAATTCATATACATTTTGTATCAGTACCAGCTTTTGTCGCACAGACTAAAATGCATTTTAACAAATAATTTGGAAATTTGGACTGGCTCTTACATCAAGACACAACATATATATGTAATTTAACAAGTTACTATAAATTTTAGGCATAATATCCAAGTACATATCATACTAATAAATTTAAATTTTATTTTAAGTGAATACCTGCTGCGTGTTCATGAATATATGCATTATATTTCAGTTTAGCATCTTGAGCCCACTGAATTTCAATCAAGTGGTCAACAGTAAGTTTATCTCGCTTATAATTATCTTTGTACGTAATGTCATGTAAGTGAGGATTAAACAATGACAAATCTAGCACAACTACTGTGGACTGTTCATAGGACTCCACTCCTGAAAATAGAATAATGACATTAGATTTGTATCACCTATGTATTATTGAGCACATAAATTGAAATTAACCATGTAATTTACTTCAATAACTTTGCAACTCTGGTTATTTATACTTTAAAAAACAAATAAAAATTCTTATGTTCTAACTCACCGTCTTGTCGAACTTTGGCACTAATCTGAGCTTTTGAACATTGTTTAGCTTCTCTGCAATATACCCTTTCAACGGAAAACTCATGGGGATTAACCTTGGCTTCAATATTTAAAGATCTTTTACCAGCTTTTACGTTTAATTTAGCCTAAAAAACAAAAACAAAAATTATTTTAAATCATTATTATTTATCAAAACTGCTGGAAATAATAAAGTTCAACAAAATTTTAATTTACAAATTCTAATTGTTTAGCTGCTGTAGGCATCTTCAATTAGGAAATATTGTATGCTTCAAAAGTATGTCAGATAGGTTAAATAATTATTGAATTAAAGTTTTTTTTAATTGTAATCAATTTAATAATTGATAATTATGTGATAATAATAATCAATTTATAATTATGTGGTGATATTACAACCTTGCTGTATATTTGTTTGAAATTACAACAAATCTCTTGTTTCTTTAAAAGCACCAGTATTTTAAATATCACAGTAGTGTTTTGAAATATACTAATTCGAAAATGCATTTGAATAGCTCATTAACACTCACTACATATGTTAAAATGAACATTAAATTAATGTTTTACGGAAACAAAATAAATTTCTCTTAAAATATTTTAAATCCTTTAATATAAATCATTTTTATAAATAAGAAATATAATTTATTGTAGTTACCAGTTGAGCATTTTCAGAAACTTGTTTTGTAGCCTGGAATGTAAGTGGGTAGCTTTGATCTTCAATTTTTATATTTCCATTTCCTTCCAGTACAGCTACATCACCTTCTTCCTTATAGTTATAATTGGACCTATTAAATAAAAAAAAGGTTTGTGGTCATTAATCCTATCGATTAAGAATTTTGAATTTCTCTTGAACATTTTTAGGCTGTTAATAATTAAAAATGTATCATAACAAGCAGCTAATTGGAGCATTGGAGGTTAATTAGACACAAACTGAAGAAGTAATGAGAATGTTATACAGTCCCTAAAGACTTATTTATTACTGCTATCGGTTGGAGAGGTTATGAATTATTTTAGTTATGGTATGAACAATTATTTTTAGTTGTGGTATGAATTAAATATTTATATGACAAGAGTCATAGCAGTAATTCATAACTTTTTTTGTGGGCTCAAGTAGGAATATGAAAATCCTTATTACAGAAAGCGGGTTGAAATCAGTTGTAAACTAAGTTAAGCAATACAACTAGGATATTACAAAAGAGATTTGTTGACTAGGGGGTAAGGTTCACTAACTGAAATGAAGTATAAGAAGTTACCTATATTAAAAATAAATTTCTTTTCAGAAGGTGGGACTTATAGTCAGGAATATTAAGATTTAAATCAAGCCATAAAGTACCTAAACTGAGTAATCCTGATAATTGAGTATGGTTAAGCAAATACGCATAAGTTATTAAATACTAATTTGATAAGTAAATACCATGGGTGATAAACATTCAGGATGCAGTCTTTTTTTAAAAAAATTTTTAATTTTTTTTTATTTTTGCCAACATTTCAACCCAAACATGTGGGTCATCTTCAGTGCTCAAACCACGCCCTGAAGATGACCCACATGTTTGGGTTGAAACGTTGGCAAAAATAAAAAAATGTATAAAAAATTTTTTAAAAAAGACTGCGTCCTGAATATTTATCACCCATGATATGTAGAACAGTCGACTAACTTCCTTCAAGAATGATTAGTAACTACAGAATTTTGAAATAAATACAGCTAAAACAATAACGTTCATGCAAGAAGAAATTTTACTAAAAGTAAAAAATTTGGCAGGTTTATTAATAAGACACTTACGAGCCAGAAACAATTATTTTATCATCTGACTTCAGACTGAAGGTAATTTTTTTAGCTTCTCCCTTAATTGGTTTATTTGAAATATCCAAATGTACTTTCTTCCATTTCAGCTGTGGGTTGTCATAATTAGCCTTTATGAAAAAGTTATCAACTGATGCTAAGTTAGCTTCAGAATCTACAGCAAGACTACCTCCACCATTTGCAGTCCACTTAGCTTTTAACTCAGATGCATAATGTCTATCGCCCTGGAAAAAAAAAATACATAATCCATTTAATACTAAGATTTTTTTAATTTCTAAAAGTGTGTATCGGTCTGGATCCATTTTAAAGAAATCTCAACAGCATTAATATCATAAATTAACATTCAGTTTGATACCATTTTCAATCAACTTATTATAATTTCGAACTTATTATAATATAAAATAAATATTTATACTTGCGAAATAGATTGCCAAAACAAGCTAACTTGTTTTGTTTTTTTAAATAAATTGTAATGTATTTCATTATTTGAGAAATGCTTATTTAACTCCAGTTGAAAATTAATACAAAAAAAAAAACACCTTGCCCTAAGTTCTTAAAATAATAATAGAATACACGGCATACAGAGGAAGAAACAATTTTCTAAGGTAACTAACTGGGTCATTTCATATCTTGATCATTTACTACAGTCAACTGTTTCCCTCGATTTTGAAGAATATTCCTTTTAATTGTAACTTATTACCACAAATTTTTTTTCAGCCCCTTTGTTTATAATATGACACACGTTTATGATTTTTTATTTTTAATATTTTCCTCAATGTTATAAGGTTTGTCCTTAATTGCATCTCTAAGATTAAATACTGTCCATAATAAAAGCTGTATGATATGGGATTATGGTATTTTTATTGAGTTAAAACGTAACTCATATCACTTTGTTTTTATAAATTTAAATATAACTCTGTAGTACCTACTGTAAATACTTTTGAGATTAATTAAATGAGTGATATATTGTAATATACACCTTTATTGGGAGTGGTTAAAAAGAGTTTAATTTGAACATAAATTAAAAGGCAAGCTAATCTAGTTTCACTAGTTCAGGGAAAAGAATATTGGCTGCTCTGTAGTTTTCCCAGAAAGGAAAATCCCAAAGAGGAGCGGGAACACAAAGGTTTTTGTTTTGGCAAAGAGTTGATGTTTGGCTGGAGTGAAGAGAGGATAGGAGAAGTGATCCTGGCTCCAGTGGGAAAAACCCAGTAATAGTGTTACCATTTCGGAAGTTGTGTTTGGCAGAACTTTGGAAAGAATTTGAAGACAAAGGAATTTAGTGCAACAAAGGAAGAAACAGTGTATATAGAAAAAAGGTTAGCTTGCCAATTCATACTTGACTTTATTTTAAAATCAATATTTAATTTTAGTATAAATAATGTTAATAATAATAGTTTGTCTGAGTTGATCTGATTTTCAGTAACCCACACCTGAGATAAATAAATATATTAATTCTCTTATAATTTTGTTTATTATTAAACAACCTCTTATTTATTTAGGAAGTATCTCAATGGTAAGAAGTGAGCTTCTGAGGTTATATTATTATTATTTGTAAAATATTAGAGAGATGTTACAATATATATATACCTTCTTGTCGAGTTTGTACAGGAACCTTGATTTTCCCTCTGGATGATCAAAATTAAGTTCAATTATTGGATGATCTGGTTCAAATTCAACTTTTGCATTTCCAGACATTTGTTTGTCTTTAGTTGAAATAGTGATATCAGCATGAAAGCCACGGCCGTCTTTTACAACCTGTAACAATTATTAGAATTGAATTTTAAGATGGTCAATTATAAACCAGTTACTCCTATTAAATTATGTATATGTTATATATTTAATCTTAAGTAATTAAATTATTTATAATTTCCATAATTAATTTATCTTTTTAGCAAAATAATATATTTGACTTACTTTTTGTCTATAAACAATATCCACTTTCCCTTTTTCTGGAATGTTTGATAACAGGTGAACATTAGCAGCAGTCTTTTCTTTATTTACTTCAACCTTACCACTGAGGTCAGCAGTTTTTCCATCATAACTTAGATTAATGGAAGCATCAGCTTTTCCCTCTTCCCTGAAAATATTTAATATTACAGGATCATAAACAAAAATATATTAAGTCAAATAAAAAAATCAACTTCAATATTTTAGGGTTTTTAAAAATAATTTTATTAATTTCTAATGCCCAAAATTTAAGCCATGCCAATCACCTTACTCATGACAAGCTGATTGTCTTTCAGAAAGAACATTTTGTTATGAATAAACAGAGGCAAATCTCATTAAATACTAATTGTTAAGTCTTTTGAATCATCTCCTCAAAGAAAAGGAGTCAGTGATTGAACAAAAGATAATATTAGAGTGTGAGATAAACACTGTATAAAGAATTTAATTTCAAATTATTAAAGTTCTTAATGGAAGATCTTTTCTTTTACGTCTGCAAAAAATTAATTAATGGACATGAGCATTATTCTGGTGAAAAAGTATCAACCTCTGGTTAATTAAAACTGATTGTAGTAAGTAATAAATTCAATGTATTTGTGGCTTTTTAATTCCAATTACAATGATTACTTTAAAAATCAGCCAAGTTTTGCTTAAGACAGGATTCAGTCATAAGTCTACGTTGAATCACATTTGAATTTTTTTTATATGAAAAAATTACTCATTAGATTTGAACAACCTTGAAAAGGAGCGCTGGTAAAACACTATGCATAAAATGTTGTCTCCTTTTTGATTGATTACTTATGATGATAATTTTAAACCTAATTCATAGAAGGTTAAATGAGCAATTACTGACTTTATAATGAGTTTCTTACCCTGAAAAATGAACAGATCCTGCTGCACGTCTTTTGGGAATAGAATCAGTTTCATATTCGACAACATACTGAACGCCATCATTCTCGCAATGCCCTTCTACATTAACCTTCACATGTTTGTTGTCATTCCAATGAACAGCATTATTAAGTTTGACCTTTAAGCAAATACAAATAGATTATATATTTTATGGATTGGACAATTTTTAGCAGTATTAGAAAAAAAGGTGAATCATGTATTTAAAAAAAAAAAGTATTACCTTTGAATGCTCTTTACTATCATCAGAAATGTCAATGAGATTGTTAGAAACTATCTTGAAATTTTTAACTGGAGATGAATCAGGAAGTTTTGCAGATAACTGATTTGAAATAGTTGGCCCGCTGAGCTTTCCTGCGGCTTCAACACTAACATCACTGCCGATTGAACCAGTGACCTTGTATGTTAACAGGGGGAAATCTGTTTCAAATGATGAAGAATCATCAGGTTCCAAATATTCATTAGAAATTTCAGATTCGAACTTCAAGTTAACTGGATCTTCAAGTAGTGATCCTGTAGCTCCAACCTATACAATTATTTTTTAGTAATAAATATTTTTTCAACAATAATTACAGATTGATTAACATTTAACATTGTTTTATAAAAACTTACTTCTCCATTAATATTTGATGTTTTTCCATTTGAATTTGGAAGCTTCTTTAAGTTCACATGTACATTTGCATCCTTTCCATCACGTGATGTATAGCCTATTTTTAATGAATATAAGTAAATTAAAAAGTTACAAAAATATATCTCTCCTTAATAGTTTATGTGACTCTTCGTTATAAAGGAAAGTGTTCAACAAATAAATAATTGTTTTAAATGGATATAATATATATTCTGTAAAACATGATATTTATATACTTTAAAATACTCACTCAATTGAGCTTGTCCATCAATAGTTTGTTTGGTTAGGCTGATATGTTTACCAACAGCGCTCAATTTTAATTTTTGTTGAGGTAAACCTTCTCCTTCATCATATAATTCCAAAACTGCTTCTCCTTCTCTGTTTTCACCTTCCAAGTTATGACTGTCAGAATATTTTCCACCAAATTTGTACTTGTTTGGTAGAATAACCTGAAAAATATGAACAAATATTAAATTAAATATATACAGTTGATAATGGTTTAAAAGATGTAATCTAGTTTATCAATTAAAGCTATAAACATTAGCAGATAGAAGACGATATATACCTCCAATTCACCATAACTTGTTCCTTGTAGTAGACTAGTTCCTTTTATTACTTCTTTGAAATTGACTTTTACCTCAGAATTACTATGTGAGAGGGTATTCCTAAAAAATTAATAAAATTTCAAAACACTCTTAAAATGATTAAATTATATTTTAAATAGAAAAATTATATAATTTGTTTCTTATAACAGTATAATTATTATGAAATACTAAATATAGGTGACTAGTCACCTGTAAATAGCCATAGAAATCAGACGCAATTATCAGAACAACCCAAGAAAATAACAATGGTGCAAATAAATGAATCTTTAAAAATAATTATTAAAGACTATTGGTCTAAAAATGTATTAAATATTATAAATTTTATGGCATTGAAGATAACAAATATGAGTAGAAAATTTAAAACTCACATATTGACCAGCAGTTTATAATTATATATTTTTAAAAATAAAATCTTAAAAAGATTAAATTGTATTCTAAAAAGGAAATTGATACAAGTTATTTTTTTCTTCAATAAATGAGACTTTTAGCTGACAGAATGACAAACTCCAATTTCAATATTGTTGAGTAGTCATTTTAGTGATACTTCTAGTTGGAAAATTTATATCTGTACAGAGAGTGAGTAAGTCGATTCCAGAGTAGGTGATTGCAGGGTTCAAATTTATTTATTTATAACAATGAAGGGCTCCTCAACCTCTTACGGGTCAATTTAGTATTTACATATTATTTAAGTTACAATACATAAAATGAAATTAAACAATAGATTTGAAAGTACAAAATATTTAAAACATTAAAATTCCCAAAAAAGTGTAAGTATGAATTTATATTAAACATTTTATTGAGAAATATTACAATTTGTCACAGTTAAGGACACTTATAATAGAGTTCAGAGAGTACATTCATATAAGTATGAATTAAATTTTGTGAAATAGTTGCATTATTTTAAGAAATAAAAACAATTTTTTTTGTCATTTTGGTGGTGTTTTTCAAAATTTCGGCAATAATATCCTCCAATTCCATTTTATTCCATTGTGCTTCATAAGCATAACATTCAGTCAAAATGTTCTTGATTGTTAAATTGATCCCGCAGCAGAGACATTGAGGGTGTGTCCCCTTTGTTATTAGGTACTCATGAGTTAACTGTTAGAGTCCTATTTGGAGCCTTGTCAGGATTATTTCTTCTCTTCTGTTCAAATGGAGGTCCGATCACTCTCAACTCATTATCTCTTAACACATGCCAGAAACCTTGCCATTTCTGCAGAGCTTTTCTTGATTGCTTGTTTTGCCATGATATCGGCTAGCTCATTACCTCTAATACCTGAGTGACCCGGTAACCACGAAATTTGTATCTTACATTCAACACTCTCCTATGTTTTTATATATCTAACTGTGTCTATGACTAATGAGTTAGTTGAAAAAGAATTTTTCATAGCAAATATAGAACTGTAAATAAAGTTATATATTTTCCCATTAGAAATATCACTAAAATTAATAATCAAAAATGTTGAAAATGGAGTTAGTCATTCTGTCAACTGAAAGGCTCAAATATGATTATTATTGTTATTATTATGTAAATTATTTTAAAAAAACAAAACAATATACATATAAAGAAGGAACTTTGAGAATACAATTTATCATAAACCAAAAAATATTTAAATTTAAAAAATAATAGTTTTAATATTGAGAAAGGAATATTTAAAAAAATAATACCTCGAGTCTAGTGAATATTCTTTGTCGTTCTTATTGTATATATTTTCAGTATGGATCTTGATTGTTTTACTTGGGTCTTTCGTGTCATAGCAAACATTTACAACACCCGAAAACTTGGAATTAGTCAATGTCAAATCTGCCTTTAATTCCATCTAGAAGAAAATATCAATTTCATTTATCTGTATAGAATTCAATAAAATAAAAAAACATCGACATAAAGTAATGAATAAGATTACTCTAAAAGTAGAAAAAAAACAACAACATACAATTGTACTGTTGTAAGTACAAATATAACCCATGAGAAGCCATTACATTATTTGGAAAAGAAATTACATATGTAAAACTTTTTATTGATCATTACACATATTTTATAAAATTGATTTAACTGAAAAAAATCTTAAGTAGACCAACACACAAAAGTGATAATACTAACTTTTCTATCTGCTTTAGGTAGGTATAATGTTGCTACTGCATTTCTGGTAGATTTGTCACCAGTCAGTTTTCCTTCAGATTCGAGGTATCCAGTTAATACCAGCTTATAACTTCCATGAGGTGCTGCACCTGTGGTAAGAGCACTATTGCCCTCAATAAGGCATTTATCACCAAAGTTCAATTTAATCTTTCCATTGTACTTGCTTCCTGAACTTTGGGCTCCTGCTACTAACCTGTTAAATAAAATAAATTTAGTTATTAGTTGCAAAATGTAATAAATAACATTTTAAATTATTTTCAATATTACTCACTTAAGAGAGGGCTGGTTGGGCACTGAAGCGTCAGCATCTATTTGGAAATTATATTCTTTCTCAGTAAATTTATGTACAACTAGAGCATTCACTTGGTAGACACCACCAGGTTTAAGAGTAATAGTATTTTTAAATCTAGACGTGTCCTTTCCTTCTAATGAACGTGAAGATTCCAGATGTATTCCACTGCCCATGACTTCTCCCTAAGCAATTTTACTTATGTACTTTTTATTCTTTGATTTATAAATATTTGTGCGTAATTCTTTTTTAAGATGAAAAAAATTTATATTCTGTGAACTAACTGAAATTGGGAAATAAAAAAAATAAGGTGTGTGCTTTAGACCACACGATATAAGAGAAAACATCAACAAGGCCAGATTAATAATATGAGATATAAATTATAAATAATAGCTCATTGCAAAAAATATGAAATGCTAAACATTTCCCTTGCTTGCAATATACAGATCCGATTTTTAGTATCTGAAATATTTTAATCCATATGTCCAACTAACCTTTTCATTTGGTTTTCAACACTATTTTTTTCCTTTTCGCCTCCCTTTCAGCGTCGCGTTAAGATACAATTTTGAAATATAGCCTATTACAGAAAGCATGAAATGCTGAACAATTTACTTACTTACAGTATGCAGGCCCGATTTATAGTCTCTGAGATATTTTAATTCATATCTAAAAATATTTTAATTAGTCCACTCTAGAAAACTTTATCCGAGGGTTAATGCTGAACGAAATCTGACAGATCAATCTAATTCATTCTCCACAAAAAAGTGCAAAAGTGCCTAAAGAAGTTTTCACTTCAAAAAAAGCATATAACGGGTAATATCTTCATGAAAATATAAAACCAAAAATTCATGATTGTGTTATATATATTCATATACACCTTGAATCAAATAGGGCCAATGTTAAAATTTTTGAAATTTGAATAAACTGCATGAAAGAAATTGGAGCAGAGTATACGTATATTAATTGTAATAGAATCAACGTCCTCCTATTATTAGTATCTACTATTAGTGAGAGGAAATTGGTCTTTTTAAAAATTAATATATACACTTCCCTGATTTTTTTATGCAGTTCGCTCAAATTTCAAAATTTTGGATGCTGGCCCTTTTTCTTCTAGGTATAGATATACAAACCAATTGTACATTTAAAAATATATATATATATATATCTCAGCAATACAATAATTCAAGATTTTCTAGCTGAAATGAAAAGGTGTTTTCCCAAAAATACCGTAAGAATACATTGGCCATACTTCAAAAAATTATTTTAATGCTTGTTATTTGAATAATATTGAATCTAAAGAATGCTTTCACAAAAGCAGTTCAAATTATGAAAGCAATGCTTGAATAATATGCAATTATTAACTTTTTTAAATAATAAAGATTATTTTTTAACAAAAATAAAACACCACAGAATAAAAATTTCAATAAAATATCAAAAAATAAATCTCATAATTGACTTGAGTACTTATAACTTGACATTAAAGCAATAAAGAACACAAAACAGAAATACCATGGAATAACAGAAAGATTTAAAATTAGTTTTCTTTAAACCAAACTAACTTTTGTGCAATAATTTGTTTAGAAAAGTTGAAAGTTCACTCTTTTAAATATTGTGTAAAACGTAAAATTAAGGTAAATAAATCTTTAAATAAGGAAAAAGCTGCTTATAATAGCTTGGATCTTACACAACATTTTGTGTGCAGGTCTGAAATAATGAATTCTATGTTGCACAAGTTTAAAGGATAGATAAGTGCTATGGTTCTGTAGATTAAGATTGCTCAAAATAAAACACCTTTATATGTTATATGTCTTAGATACAATCACTTTTATAAAATTTTAAGTACTCATTATCATCCTATTTATTACAATTTTAGCCACTACACTTTCTGTTCAAAAAGGTTTTTGTTAACTTACATCTATGTCAATTAGGTAATCGCCAGGGTTTTTATGATCTAATACTCCTGCAGTTTCTAATTTGGCAGAATATTTATCAAGTTTTCCCACAAAACCAGCTAACAATGACTTTGGAGTATATTTGCCTTTCACCTGGACTTCCAAATTAAGTACTGGATATGACACTGAAACATTTAAATTGCCTATTAAATTATCACATATAAGTTAGTACTTTTGGTTTTAATGAATAGGATTGAAGAGTTTATCCAATCTGCATCATTGGTAAATCAAGAGTATTCATATAAATTTTTAATTATGTATTAGTTATTTATACATCATTAATGATAAACAATTCTCTTTACTTTCACTTACCAATATATGAAATATATAGTAAAGGAAAGTATTGCAATCGTGAAAACTTTTTAATCTGAGTTTTCAACAAAAATACATGTTTTGAGTTCTCCTGAATCGAAATAACCAAGTTCCACTAAAGGGTCTGTGTGTTTGTATGTTAGCAGTCTAGCTCAAAAACGAAAAGTCCTACGAAACTGATATTACGTATTTAAGATAGGTATATGCCTTAGATGTGACAGCAACTTTTTACTTAAAATCGGCTAACCGGAAGTGCCACTTTATATCAACGCTGAAACGCATTTTTACAATTTTCTCAAAAATGGCTCTAACGATTTTTATTAAACTCAGTGTATCATTGTATAATTAAGTAATCTTTAATGTCATTTAGTTCTTATTCCTATTGGTGTTGCTTAATAGGACTTAAAAGCCTAATGTTCAAAAAGTCATCCTTTAAAGTACCTTTAATTTGGTTTTTGTTGTTGGTGGTTAAATAATTAAGTATCTCTCAATGTTAAGAGTTATTAAAAAAAGCTAGATATAACTTTTGAAAGAATTTGGTAATTGAATAAAGGAAAAAAAAGAAAAATGCTTATCCCGGTCAAAAATGAATCACCGGAAATAATAATCAGAAGATATACGTATAATATATCATTGGAGAGCTGAGCATTTTAGAATAAATAATATCTAATAAATAAAGTTGTAGTAGGTAATGGAGGGTGAAGATAAAAACATAGATAATAATTTCTGAAAACTACCATTATTTAACATAAATCACATGTTTCCAAGGAAATTAAATTAAATTTTCTTACTAAATGTAAACTTTAAAATTTATTTTAAAAGTTTGAAAAAATTATTACAAATCCATCGAATCAAGGCAATGACATTGTTTAAAATACTATTTAACTGTACTTGTGAGAAAGTAAAAGTGAAATATAAAAATATTTCATGGACATGTTTATAATCCTAAATACATTAACTGTAGTTTAATAACTCTAGCTCTGATATTATATTTAAATAAATAGATATCTATCGTCCGTTTATTCCAAAAAATTATCACCAAACTTTTAGGAAATTAAATTAGTGAATAATTTGATGCATTTTCCCTATGTGATATCAAACAGTACCTACTTACAATCAGTGTGACAACTTTTGATCTATCTATGACAAGCAATACAAATCTCGTAATTCCATTGTAGTAAACTTTGCAATGGAAAATAACAATTAAATAACATATAGTCATACAATCCATAATCAAAGGATCATATAATTTATAATCAACCGTTGATATAATAAATAGGATTTTATTGTTTTAATGGTATTAATAATTTGTTAGCTGTAAGCTTTAAGCTTTAGCTTGGTTAAAAATGTACTTCAAAAATTTTATAATAGCCCAAAATTGCCAGAAAATAATTTCTGTTAAAAATAGAGCAGTAAGTGAAAGTTGTATGTTGCACCCACCAGATTTTTAACTCTATTTTTGAGCATTACCTCAATTAAAAATTTTTACTAAGCAAAACGGGTTTAAAACGACACTAATTTCAGTTTCAATATTTAGTCTACCTCCATTTTTTAATTATTGATCGACTTAAAAATTTAAAAAGTATCATACTTAAAATTAAAAAGTACATACATTCATGATGAGCTTTCAATGATGTTATCTTGTTATCTTTTATAATCTTTTCATAACTATTGTGAAGATAAATTCTGCTAACATCACTTTTTGGATCTGGGCCATGAACAATTATCAGTTTGCTGTCAATCTGTGAAAAGATTATTGATTAGTATTGCATTATTAAATTAATTATATTAAATAACTATTGAAGACAGAAGGCTGATATTCACTTTCCAGTAAATAAAATCCCATGCAAAAAGATATCGACTAATGCCCATAGGCACCAACTTTCGAGTTTGATAGGGAGGGGGTGATGAAAAAAAAAAAAAATGGTAGGAGTTTTTACTATCGGTAAAAATTCAACCTAATTATTATCAAATGAACAAACATAATATTGAATATTTAAAATTAACTTGTTTATATGGTTGAAAGGATTTTCATTTTTTTTTTTTTTTTTTTTTTTGTCTTACTTATTATATATACCTGAAAATATCTATAAAAAAAATACAATTGAATATATAATGTATTTGTTTAGATTAAACACAGGGAAGAGGGGAGGGGAGGTAGCCTTCATAACATTTGTATATTTCTAGAACTTTTTCAGCTAAAAATGTATAATGTAAAAAATTTAATTTTGAAGAGATCTTTGATTTCTTATTTCTTATATAGTTTGCAACCTCAAAAAAATATTACGTTTTCACAGTCTGACTAGTTTGCCTCAACAAATGTGATAAGAACATCAAGTGAAAATTGAGGTGTAATTGAATCATGAAATCCGAGGATATGCTAATATATACTATTATCTTTGAATATAAATGACAATTTAAATGAAAGTAAAAAGGGGGCAATCGCCACCCCAAAGTCTGCACCTAAGCTAATGTCTATCAACAAATAATAGAAAAATATAGCATATGCCTCTAAAAGATGATGCACATGATGACCAAAGGGCGTTACTGTTTTTTAACTAAAATTTTAATTTGGGAAAGTGAGATAAACCTACTATTCTTATACTTTACATGTGTTTTTATTTGACTAGATACCATCTTAATTCTTCCATAAAAGGTTCAAAATACTAAACACTTAATGAGCAACCTCCAATCCAATTTTCCTAATTTTCTTTTGGCTGTCATTTTGATATCTTGGTCTAGCCAATTTCAAAAAAAATTTCAATGATCATTCAATTTTCTTTCTGAATATTTATAAATTATTTTTAATAACTATTAAATATTATTATTTTGTGTTTTACTATTAATTTTTAAATTATATTTTATTATTATATCAGTTTTCAACACCACAATGAATTCTACTTATAATAGTGAATTGATGGTTTACTATAGTGAATAATTGAAGAAAAGTTGTTTGGGGTGTTCAGTCAAAATAAAATATCATTTATTTATTTTTACTTTGTATTTTGACTGAACATCCCAACCAAATTCTCTCCAATTCTGCCCATAAGTTTTACAAGTATCATTTCAGTATTTAAAGTAAAAAAAAAATCATATTTAATATTATTTGTTTATTGCAAAAAGTTATTAAGTGACATTTAATAACCCAACATAACAAAGAATTTTGATGAATTTTTCCTTTGTGATCTCACAACACTGTACACTTGTACAGCTATATTTGATATATATAAATGGGTTTGTATCATTTTGTTGTAATTATTTTTTTTTTTTTTAGTATGAGAAAGCAATGTTGAAATTCGCAAAAACATTCTTAAAAATTCAACTTCATCAAAAGTCTGTACTTAGTAATTTTTTAGCAGTGACCTGATGATATATTGTTTCATACATATTAATTCAAGCTTTAAGTAAATATAGATGTCTTACCTGTCCAGCTTGTGGGTTGTCAACAAGAAGATCATATTTTAGGCTAACACCAAAATCAGGATATTGAGTAGAAGCAACTGCTAATTCTGTGTGCAATTCAGTCTTTCCATCACTTTGTAATTTTCCATGGACAGTAACGTGGTCTTCATCATATGAAATTTTCAAATCAGCACTACCTAATTGTGGTTGAGCTAAAACTGATCCTGTAAAATAATAAAGAAATGAAAATTATGATTTTAGCTCATTAAATATATATATATGTATTTCAGGTAGACATGATAATACTAGAGGAAAGGTTTTATCATAAAAAAATAACTTGTATTAATTTGTATAAATTAACACAATTAATAGATCTAACAGTTTTTTCTTATCCCCAGTTTCATAGATGATTTCTCCTCATCATTCATAGTTGCTGATAGATGTTTCTTGTACTGTATCTGAGATATATTTTATGGTTTGTCAGAGCGTTCCTCAGTTCTATTTAATCTTTAATTCTTGTCTGCTAATCAGAGTGCTGTCGCTCACTACTATATTGTCTGCAAAAACTAATTTAAAATCTACTATACAACTATATTTTTCCATCACTGAGGAGTCGGCAGAAATGTTAGCAAATTAAATTCACTATTTGTTAAATATTGTAGAGAATCATACAATTTTATTATTCTTCTGTTGATGAATTCATTTACTTTGGATAAATTTAATAAAGCATGAAGTTTGTCTGACTTCTCATTTTCAAAGAGCATGTTTTTAGCAATTCTTGTTAAAATTCCATTTTGAAATTTCTAAAGTCTCTTGTTTGTATTTTTCGATATCTGTGACAGTAGCGGAGCACCATTGGGAAGAGATGGGCAAAGAATACTTTTTTAAATGAGTAATTTTAATCTGATATTGAGGTTTCGGGTTGTAAAAAGATGACTGAATTTGTAAGATTTTTGTCTAATTTTTAATAATTTTGAAATACAATGAACCAAACATTTCAAATATCTGTGAAATTTAATTTTCTAGATAGACCAAATTGCTTGATACTTTGTTGTATGAATCACCGTAAATACTAAATTAATCAAAATACTCGTTAAAGCTTTCCGAAATAGATATAAATTTATTTTATATCGGTTAGATACATTTTAGTATTAACAGAAGGATGCTTTAGATAAATAATTAAAACTTATAATACTTCATACAGTTATCACTGCAATGATAATGCATCTATACTATCAAATAATAACAAATATAAGTTAAAATGATAGAAAAAATATGCTATACCTGCAACAATATATTTTGTTCGAGGAGTGGTAATAGATAGATCATTGATTTTGTAAGTATGGCTGTTTCCATTTACTTCCTCAATAATAGAACCTTAAAACAAACAAAAAAATTATAAGGATATAATGTTATCTATCAAAACCTATTTAAATTAAAACTTTATATTTATGCATACTATGATAAAATAAACTAGCTACAGAAAAACAATTATTTCAAATAAAACTATACCTCCACAAGCAACTGCTTGCTGTTTTGGTTTTTGACCTCCTTTCTTTCCTATTAGTGCACTCTTTGTTCCCTCTGGAGCTTTGTATTCAAATATAGGTACATAAGTTACTTTGTTGCCGGATGGACTTACACTAACTCCGGCACGGGCTACGTATTCTGCTTGGTCATATACTAATTTAGCATTTATAGACTTTTCCTTCTCAGTGTTTACAACATTTGCTATTGAAAGAAAATAATTAATAAAAAATAAAAATGTTATCCAAATAAGTTTGAATAATATTTTTACAAAATTTTATTACCATTTAAATCTACATTGGTCCATGGTGAGTTGACTTTAACATTGAGGTACCTCTTGGGATTTTGAACAGAACCTTCGACTGTAAGACTTAATTTTCTGTTTGTGCTTGAATTTGGTGTGTCCAAAAGCAATTCAACTGAGTGCACATTTGTTTCTGAAAATAAAATTGAAGATTCAACCAAACATTTTTTGTTAAGATTGACATCATATAAATATCAATATTAAGATTTGAAGTGTATGATATTTTGAACAAAGCTTTTTAAAAATATTAATTTTTGAATTGAAAAATATTTTGACAATTCTTTTTTCACCTTGTATGTTCCAGAGATATATGATAATTATACCAAAAGCAAAAAAATAATAAATCAAAGCTATGTAATTCTTTCTGCTTTTTCATAATGAAAGTCTAGGCCTTATTTGTAGTTAAAAATGATAAAATTTTGACTAACTTTTAAATGGGGGTTGTTTACTTATTTTTATTTTTTATATTTAATTTAATTTAATACCTTCATTTTTTTCATAAAGGGCCTTAATATGGTAAGCTGAGAGGGATGGATCTTCTTTTTCAATTCTCACTGCTAAATTAACAGGGCCATTAATTGGATAAATTGGTTTTCCAGATTCATAAGGAACTGATACCTCTCCGCAGAAAGTCAATCCAATTATTGAGTTCAGTTGATCAAAACAGCCAGAATATGATTCTCTGAAATGATCATGCTTCATAGTTAGTGGATATTCATAATGATTAAGTAAGTTAGGTAATAAAAAACGGTACAAAAACAGACCTTTTGGTTTCATATTTTACGGGAGTAGTTGTTACAACTTGAGCATCATCCCTTACAACAGATGTCATATCAACTTTCACTGAAAGAACCTCTTGCTTTGCAATGGGGATACCTAATTTGATATCTACACCACGCCCACTAAGAAGCCTAAAAGTGATATCTGATCCAGTTGAAGAATGCACATTCAAGTCGACTCTGGTTCCTGCTTCAAAGGCAGCAGCATCGATCAAAAGCTCACCGGCTACATTAACTGCAGCACTGAAAAACAAATTATACCAAGGTTACTGATATATAACCACTAACTAAATATATATGTTGTAATATACAGCTTTATTGGAAGTTGTTAAAAATGGTCTAGTAAATTGATAATGAACAGTTAAAAGGCAAGCTAATCTAGTTCTGCTAATGTTAGGGATGTTTAAATTTCAAAAATAGTTTTACTAGTTCAGGGAAAAGAAAATGGCTCTGTAGTTTTCCCAGAAAATAAAATCCCAAAGAGGAGAGGGAACACAAAGGATTTTGGCTGGGTTGAAGAGAGGATGGGATAAGGGATCCTGGCCCCAGTGGGTAAAACCCAGGAATAGTATTACCATCTTGGAAGTTGTTGTTTAGCTGCAGAGATACTAGTTGTTTGGAAATACAAGAGAAAGGATCTCCGAGAGAACTTGAGTTGAGTAGAAGAAAGTGTTACCGTTTTGGAAGATATGTTTGGCAGAACATAAGAAAATGTTCGAAGACAAATGAATTTAGTGGAAAAAAATTAGCATACCAATCCATACTTGACTTTATTTTAAAATCAGTGTTTAATTTTATTATAAATAGTGTAAATAATAATAGTTTGTTTGAGTGTTTTGATCTGATTGTCAGTAACCCACACCTGAGGTAAATAAATATATCAATACCCTCATAATTTTGTTTATTATTTAACAACCTCTTATTTCTTTTGGAAGTATTCCAACAGTATAAAGTGGTCTTCCAAGGTATTATTTCTAGTTATAAATATAAGAGAGATGTTACAATATATATGTACATATATTTCAAATGTATTCATGTTTTACTTCTAGTTCGAATTTTTAGCCTCGATAGAGTAATAGAACTAGAAATTTAGTCATTGGAGGTTTAGTAACATTATAGCTAATAAAAATGGATACGTAAAGAGAAAATATTAAATTATTAGTAAGTTTACTACAGAAATCCTACCTTGGTAATAATTGTACCATAACATTTGTGTTCTGAGGATCCCTGATAGTAGCTGGTAGATCTAGCTTTCCATCCAGCTTCACTCTTAGAGCTGCTGAACCAAGAGTTTTTAGCTTGAGGGGAAGACCCATGCTAGTAGGATATGTTAATTCTTCATCAAGGAAAGTGATGTGTCTTCGATAATCAATCTGTAATAAGAAATATGAAATTACATGAAGAAAAAAATATTGAATACCTTAAGAATTATTAAATAAAATGAAAAACTATTAAATTTTTTCAGTTTTATTGTTACTTTATTTGCTATATGTCAAGAGAAAAACTTTTTTTAAACAATCTTAAATGCTAGATAAAAGCTCATATACTACCACAATTATTTTTCTGAAAAGTGAAAATATAATAATAAATTATAATAAATTATAATAAATTAATAATATAAAATCTATTTATTTTGAAAAGTCAAAACAGAGGTACCCACATCTGTGTTCTTCAAAGAATCTATTAGTTTGTCTACGGATCCAAAATAATTATTAACAACATTTTCTGGATCAATTTTTCTAGCTTCTGATGCATGTAGGTGTTGCCATAATACTTCAGATCCTAAAACTTTCAGAGAAACGTCAAGGTCAACATCATCAGACCCTTTGGGAAGGTGAACCTGTTAAATTATAACATTTAATAAAAATCTAAGATTTTAAATATAAGTCAATTTTTAAAATACTCCATCATTTAATCGTCATCATGCTAATGCTAATTAAAATGCTTACCTTGTTAGCTACAGCATTTAAATGGTCACGTGAAATACTCCTCTTAGGACGGAGAACCTGATCATAACGAGATGCTATCTTTTCAAATATAGATGATAGATGATGTTTGCCATCTTCATAAACATCTTGTACTTCATTAGTTTTTAAATAACCTTTAGGACCAAACAGATGTTCAGCAACATATTCAAGGTTCTCAGCTCGTGTATCAACCTAAATAACAAAAAAAAAAAAAAAAAAAGGTTCAAAAATACATTCAGAAGTAATTATTTATGATAATATATTAATGATGATCATCAATAAATAATTTACCTCAAATAAGTTGTATGCTGTACCAAAGAGTTGAACTGTCAAATTCAGACTTAGTGTCCTAGGTATGTAAGAATTTTGAGAGTAAATAATATTTGCTTCTCCAGCTGCACCAGTGTTGACAATATCAGCAGCGTAAGACAGTTCTTGGTTTATAGAGTAACGTCTCGGATCAATAATGAATCTTCGAGGAGGTATTATGTTACCAAGATAATGGCGTGCAGATTGTTTATCAGGGTTTGTAGAAGCTTGAAGATTTCTTAAGTGGGAGACAATGAAACCTCCAACTACAAAACACAAAAACATGCTTTAGATATAAAGCTAAAACCAAAGTACTTTAACCATTTTATACTTCAATAAACATATACAATAATATCTTAAAAGAATATAGCCTTACCTTGGTTGCTTTCTTCTTTGCTTAAAAGCTCCTTGACAGCACCAGCTACTTTTCCACATGGGCACTGAGCGAGGATCAAATATGCCTTAATTCTTAATTCAGAATCTTCATCGACATTTTTCATAACATTCAAGGCAAAGTTTTTGAACTGAAAATCAGAAAGTGATTTTGAAAAATAAATAAAATTTTAATATTATAAAAAATATTATTAAACACAGGAAATAGCTAAAATTATTTATTGGAGATAAGTTACAATAAAGTTAAAACTTTGTACTAATTACTTGATCTTTGTGAGGATCTGTCCTAATAGTTTCGAGGGCTGCAGCTCTGATTCGAGGTCGAACATTTTTATCCTCAGCACACTCAATAATTTTTCCAGCAATCTTAGGCCCAAGGTATTTAATGTTTCCAAGACCTTTCAAGCTAGCAATCAACTAAAAAGTATTTTGAAAAGTCATAAAAATGTAAAATGTTATTGCTCCAACTTTTGAATAAATTGTAACATATAAATAAATACCTGATTCTCCTCTTTTTTTGTGTTACATCTACATCCCTTTAGCAGAGGTGCTCCCAGTTTTATTTGAAGTTGATTTATTTCATTTACACCTTCACAATTGTGTTCTCTACAAAATTTACCGGCTAAAGAACCAATTCCAAGATAAGCATTTAAATCTGGCTCACCATCCAATAGAGGCTGAATAAATAGAAAATAATAATATTAGCAGCTTATATAATAAATTAATAAACTTAAATCTACGCAATTATATGGCTAGTTAAGTCAATAAATTGCCATATCATTAAATAAGAAAACAAAAAGTAGAGGAAAGTATTGAAATAATACACATCCTTTTTCAAAATTGCTTGCTGAAAACTGTTTTACAATTACAATTCAATAATAAGTCTGATATTAATCAGATTGCTTTCCAAAATAAAGTATTTATTATTTAATAAAAAAACAAATCAGTTATTTAGTGATGTTAATTCTTATTTATAGAGAAGTTTAATCAGTACTTCAATACTCAAGTTTTAAAAATTAAAAAGTGGATTAAATCTATATGGCCTTTGAACACCTCATTTGATAATAAAGAAGAAGAATTTTAATATGTTTGTAGATATATTTATGGAGAAAACATATTTAATAACTTTTAAAATTATGTCAAATAAATATTCATTTCAATAAGGAATGTTTAAAACTTACAAGGACTGCCATAAGAGAAGCACGAGAAGCATGTTTAACTGCTCCAAGACCAAGTAGCCAAAGCCTAGCTGTGTCACCAGTAACCTCTTTCCTCTTCAAAATTTCTGCCATGACTTCAACAGAACTAGCACTCTGTGCCATTACTATTGCATCCTTTAGCATTCTTCTGCAATTCAGAAAAATAAATAGATAATGTTGATATTCACAAGCAGATGTATACACATTAACTAATTAGTTAAACAGAAAATCAACCATGTTCATTAGCATTTATTTTGTTTTAAACTTTCACAGTAATAAAATAAATTACTGTACATTCAAATTTATTAGGAGGCCATATTAATTTTAACTAATAAAGTCATTTGTCATTCAAATAGCATCCATTTATTATCATCATATATTTTATTATTTATAATTTCTAGTTGGCGTTTCGAGACAACACACTCCATTTTCAGAACATTTGCTACTGGTCATTATAAATAAATAAAGATACGTTTTCTTTAAAGTCAATTAATATTTGTGTCATAATATGTATGTAGAAAATTATAACAGTATAGGCCGTTAATAGCATATTTTGTCAGTTAAAGCTAGCTGAAATTTCAAATGATCTAAGTTATAGTAAATTACTTGTAGACAATTTTCAAAAATAGAAAATATGTTTGATCATTATTTTTATTTTCCATGAATATACTACATTGACAAAGTGATTTGACAAAAACCTGGTAGGAGCTATTTTTCAAAATTCATATCAGATTTCTGTATACATACTTGATTACAGTAAAATTTATTTTTCATATCCCTCGTCAAACCTAAGACCTATTGAAGAATTAAGACTGTTTGAAAGTAATCATTTTTTTGTTTTCTCATTATTAAACAGAAGCTTACTAATGAAAAAAACTGGCTTTCCTCGGAATTGGATTGTTTGTTTATTTGGGTTTAACACACCCTTATGTATGCCAAGGCAAGAAGGATCGGTTGTACAAGTAATTAAGAGATTTGAGCCAAATTCAAATTTATTTTTTTTCTCTTAGTTATATTAATAATAATTTTAATCCAAGATACTTTCATTCAAGCTGCAAAACGTGTAATTAGTAAACTGTTATAATTAATCATATATTTAAATTAATTTGAATTATTTATTTATTTTCAAAATGGAAATTATCTAATGCTCTCTACTAGCGATGCAAATCAGGAAGTATTATTCTTGAAAGTGTTGAAAGAAGCCCTCCCAAAGAAAATTGCTTTTAAAGAATAACTAATTCACTAAAATAAAGAAATAAGCTAATAATTTCTTTTTGGGAGGAGGAGGGTGTTTACCAGAAATTTGTAAATTTATTCATGAATAATCATTTAATAGTTGATTATTTTAACTTCAATTGATAAAATGTATGATAAGTTCATCTCCTGGTACCTGGGAGAGTCTTTTAAATCTCCGCCCTCATCCCCTGGCCAGGGAAAACCCTGTATAGCCTTAAAGGGGCCCCCCCAAAAAAAATTGATAAAATGTTAAGCTATTAAGTTATTTTTTTTTTAAACTTACTGAGCTGTTTCTTTATCTTTTACTGCTGATCCAGAATTAATCAGTTGAAGGGCAGAGGTGATGTCCTGCTTGGAAGCTGAACCAACCGTTCTTACTAGCTTGGAAAACTGCTGTGCTGTATCTTGCTCGACAGTACGGCTATCACAACCTTGGCGGACCAGTTCGACGATTTGATTGGAAGCTCCTTGGCTTTCAACAATGTGTTCCTTCTCGAATATAATTGATCTTGGTTCAGTGCAAGCAGCTGAAAAAACATTTTTTGTTCAGAATAATAAATCTAGAGATAATATATATATATATATATATATATATATATATATATATATATATATATATATATATATATATATATTTATTATTAATAATCTATGGCTGTTATTCCTATCAAAATCCACATAGCAATTTTAATTAAAAATAATTTTTGTTTTAAGTTTAATCTTTTAAACTTTCGATTAATTATGCAAAACTGCCGCTAAAACCTACTTAATAAATGTTATAGCATATATGGAAAATGTAATTCATCCTTAAACTAGAGCTCAGAAGAACTTCTTTGTTTTCCAAGGTATAGATCATAACAATTAATTTTTAGATGAAAAAAATCTTAAAATACCAAAGTTTTAAAATAACTAAAATTTTCAGGAATAAAACCTAATGTGGATCAGAAAAATACATGATTTTAACAGTGCCAATTTTGTTAGGGTATGTTAAAAGTAATCAAAGCACTTATATGTTTTTAAATTTAAAGAGTTGTATGGACTGAATATAAATCATTTGTTTTTATTTTTCTAATAGATAAGGATGACCTCTTTATAATTTTAAACCAAACTATTTAAACAAAAAAAAGATAACTAAAAAAAAATTTAAATAAACAAACCTGGAATGGATCCAGCAGAAGCACTGACATATTTAAGAGTTGTCTTAACATGAACTTTTGCAGTTGCCTCAGAAGCACCAGGTCTGTACTCATAATGTTCCTCTCTTGAAGCTAAAGTCAAAATTCCTCCTTCAATTTTTTGTTCACCTCCTAATTTTGAAGAAAGCAGAGGGGAAGATTGGAAATCCTATAACAGAATAATATGAAAATAAAATTAATTTTAGAGCCCTGAATCTGAAAAATATGGGATCCATAAGTTATCTGATAAAATATTCTGGACTGATGAGGGTCCCATTTAAATAATACCAATCTAAATTTGTTTAATTAATACTTCTTTACTAAGAAAACACATAGTTATAATTTTTTAATACTGCAACTCTAAACAGTTAATCATATTATATAACTTAGACAGTAATACCTAAGATATGACACTTACGGATTTCACATAATAAGGAGTGGTTAAATAAGGAACTGAAATATCTTCTCTGTGTGCACACTTAACCAAATCCCTGCTCTTTCTAACAGTAACTGAGTTTCCTGATTTTGAAAATTCATATCCAGTCGGGCAAGTACCAGATATATCAGTCTAAAAACCAAGAATATTGATTGAAATTAATTGATTAAATTAATTAGTAATTAATAAAATAGTTTATTAGTATTTGTGAATTTACTTTAATCCTTTGATTTTTAAAAGCTTTAGTTACATTTCCTAAGTAAATTAGAAATTGAAAAATATAATTTAAATCTTTTAAAATAATAAACTATAGATTACTTCAAGCTGTGTAGCATAGCCATTATCTTTAAGAACAGCACTCTGGATTAATGAGAGAACTGCTCGTTTGATATTAAGCCCCACAGTGTCTTCTGCTTGGTTAACACACAATTCACTCTCAATACGTCCATTTTGAAGACCAAACTTAATAGGCTGTTGACTCAGCTTATTAAGATTGTATTTCTGAAAACAAAATTATTTGAGTTTTTGATTGTTCAACTTTGATTTTTAAATAGTGCTGATAAAATAAATGATGATTTATTATAAATATTACACACCTTGGCATCAGGGCCAGAAACTTGAACATTGGTGACCTTCAAAACATGTTCGCAAGATGAGAGAAGTGAAACCTGAACATCTGCGGTGATTCCAACTTTACTTTGATCGCCAGTAGCTCCAGTCAATTTTGTAACAGAGTTTCCTTCCAATTTATATGAATAGATTTTGCCGGGTTCATATTTAAGGAGATTTCCTGCAGCTAAAAGTAAAAAATGTTCGATACCATCATCTCAATTAGAGATACAATTACAAAAAAGTTAAACAAAATTTAATATTTTATTATATAGTTTTATAAAATAGTTCATTCCAGTAATTGATTTTTAAAAAAAATAAAAATATTGATTTTAAATTAAGTTCTGATTATTTCCTTAAATAAAGAATTTTGTTTTTTAATTTAAAAATCAAAGCCAAAGATTTTAACTTTATGACAAAGTTTCATGATCAAATCGGAAATCAAAAATAAAACCAAAATAATAAATCTCTGGTTGGAGAAGAAAATTGTTTTTACTAATATATGATTCATTATTTAATTTGAATCAGTTATATCAGGATCAAATCAGCTTTTAAGTTCTGCTTTTTTTTAAACATTGAAATTTAATTTTTAAGTTGACTATGGTTAAAACAAAACCAACTAACTTCCACAGACCTAACAATTACACATTTTGATTGTAGTCAGAATATATATTTTTAAACATATATCGTTGATACAATGGCACTCTATCGAATCTAAAAATCACTACTCTAATATCATTATCAATTAAGTCCAAATAACAAGAATGTTTTAATTTCCACACTAATACATGCTTTTATAAATGTTTGCAAATTTTGTAATCACTGTTTAAAAATATTTAATTACAGTTACAATCCACATAATGCAGAATTGAAAAAGTGGCCATTTTTCATATTCGATAGTTTGCTATTGTATCGACGATATAATTAATATAACTTTAATACTCAATGAGATCAAATATTTCAAAAAAGTCAATTTAAAACTTTGATTAAAACCAGAAGTATGATTTTACAAAAAACTACGTCAGTGCATAAGATCTTTTTACAGTACAATTTTAAATATACTTCAGTACAATAAAATGCTTAAATTTTTAATCTCATATTTCAATAAATTTTATTTCTTTTTTTGTCCTAATAATTTGTTATAATACGTAGCAATCATTTATATTGAGAATTATTTTCATTAGTAAATAATAGAATGATAGATACATAAAGTATCAAATAATATTCTGCAATAGTTCTAATTGTTACTCTGCTTGTAACTTATTCAGTAGTGCTGCTTAGTGGTTATGAATAATTTTATGTAATAAATTGCATTTTAAACTAAAAAACCAAGGATATATACTAAATAAGGATATATGCGATAGCATATAATTGAATCTATTATATATACTACATTGTATTTTATTTTTTATACAGTAAGTAGTATAAAAATAAAAATCAATGCATTGAATGGAGAAAACTTAATAAACCTTATTGTATAACAAAAAGGGAGATAAAGGAATATTTGGCAAAATATAATAATATTTATAATCAAATACTTACATCCATGACAACCTATTTTACATTCTCTTGCATCTGTAATAACAAAGATAAAGTTTTGTTAATGAATTTGTTACAAATTAAACATTTAATAATATTTTAAGTATAAATTATAAATTTTTTTGAAGGGTGTTATTATTGTATGATATGTAATAGTTATGTAATTTTTTAACTATGCATTAAAACTTTATGATTTTTTTTTTTAATTTTATTTATCATTACATGAAACACATAATACGGAAAGATCATAATTGGTGTTGAAAAAATTTTAATCCAAGTTTTCAATGGGAATAAATTATTTAAGGTCCTCTGATTCCAAATAAACAAGTGTCACAAAATGATCAGTGAATACACAGAGTGAGCCCATGAGAGTCACGAGTGAGCTCGACTTTTCACATAGATACCTATGTAAAGAGTCAAACCCAAAAATGAAAAATCATATGAATATAAAATTATGTATTTACAATAAGTAAATGTCTAATATATTGCATTAACTTTTTCACTGAAATTAACTAACCAAAAGTGTCACTTTTTATATATTTGATTTTAGACTTCACATTTTTCTCAAAAATGGTCTAATAGTTTTGATTAAACTCGTTATATAAATTTATGATTACATGGCCTTAAATGTCAGCTATGTCTCATCCCCATAGTTAACTTCAAGAAATATTTTTCCAGGTTAAAAAAAAAGTTTCCAGAAACAAGAGTAGTAATATAAATGTTTGACATATAATAGGAAAGTTAAAAAATGTAGGAAAATAATAACTAACAAATAAAAAATCAAAGAAGGTAATGGAGAGTGATGACAAACTAATGATCATTTGCAGTAATAATGGTTGTAGTTAATAATTTATACCCTTAGAGTATCAATTGGGAAACAAATAGAATTTTCCTTGTAAGCAAAGTGGAAACTCTTAAAGTTTATTTTTATCATGAGAAACCAAAAATATACAGTAGACAAAATTTCATGCTGTAATTGTTTAAAACATATTTTATTGTTCTTTTGTGAGAAAATACATGACTAAGTGCATACTGCTGAAAATATTTCAAGTAGTGTTTTCAGGTGGAAAAATATAGGATTATAAGTATAATTATTTAAGACCTCACTGGGAGGCTTCTCCAATCACACTCCAATCCCAGAGAGGAGGTTCGCTAACGAACATCACATTTACAAAATATGCCAAAAGGCATTTGTAAAACTGCTCAATAAATGAATTTATTATTATTATTATTATTATTAAAGACCTCACATCAGATTGAAATAATTAAATAATTACTAGTCATACTTGAGCAGATATTAAGTTCTACTCAAAATAGGATGGCAAGTAAATATTGTGTGATGCATAAACCATACCACAATATTAATTTAATAATATAGAGAACATAAACCGATCTTAAATTTTTAGTTAGTTTTTTTTTTTTGGGAGGGAGGAATCAACTCTTTCAATCCTCAGGTATTGAATTATGGAGGAAAATATGAAATGCTTGCATTTGATTCATGAAAGTTTCTGTGTAATTTTTTAATATGTGCTGTTCTTTAAATTTCAATTTTATAAAACATAATGTTTTTTTATCTAAAATATGTATTTTATAGTGTGTGTATATATAAAGGTATATCTATACGACAATACATAGATGAATGTTTAGATTTGTATGTATATAATTTAATCTGTTAAGCCAATTAGCTAGTTATCACATGGTTTGATAATGGATCCATGATAGTGTAGCTTGTTTGCATGACCTTTGGCCTTCATAATATCAGAAAATTTAAGGTCAGGGAAGTTCATGATCAAGGACATTAATGTAGATATATATCGATACAAAGAAAAAAAAAGAAGAAAATTAAGTATAAGATAAAATCATTTTTATAAAGGAATACAATTCTTTTATTTATTATTTGACCTTTTAAGTCACAGTTTGATTGTGGTAAACATGTAATAGAAGAGAATTGAAGAAATTGTTTAACACGGTTGTAATATATTGTATCCTGCAATTAGCCAATCAAGTTCTCCCTTCCAAGAGACCTCTTATGTACAGCCTACCACATCCTATACTGTTGACTGATTTATTTAAACTTTCTCTTCTAAATAAAGCTCCATAAATAATTTCATAAATTATTTAATCTGGAAGACTTTTGGATTGAGACAATATTCAACTTAAAAAGTAATTTAAAAAATATTCTACAGATTTTAATGAGCTTTTTAATCTTATGAAGTTAGGATTGTTTTAAATATAAATAATGACAAACCTCTTTTCTTTAAATATAAAAGATTAAAAATTTAATTATAATCAGGGAAGGACACCCTTACAAAGTTAAATGGGTTTGTGCAGCAAAATTTTTTATAGAATATATCGTCGGTTTATTGTAAAAAGTTATTAAGTGACATATCATTACCTCAAATCACTAAGAACTTTGATGAATTTCTCTATTATGAAATCAAAGCATTATGCTCTTGTAATTATATTTGATGTTTTTTTCAATTTAGTGCAGTTACTGTGTCTTTTTGTTAATAAATAAGCTGAAATTCCCAAAATGTTCTTAAAAGTTCAGGTCCATCAAAAATGTACTTAGTGAATTTTTGCAATAAACTGAACATATTAATAATATTCTATAAGTTTTATCATATGCTTGTTGTATTTTTTATTTAATTTAGCTTCACTAAATTACCTTTGGGTTTTATTATTAAGTAAATCAAGATCAATGGTTTAATATTATATATTATAGGAAACAACTAGGACAGATATGCACTGTCAGATATATAGAAATAAATAACTACATATCCGCTAAGCATGTGGAGGTTTATGAAGGTCATCAGTCCATCTTAAGACAGAGTATCGGAAAGTTTACTAGAGGCTTTTAAGACTGGCGGTGCTATTAGTGCTTTTATCCTAGTTGGGGAGATAAAAAGATACATAGAATCTTATGTTACGTATCAAACTTTTTTTTATTATATCAAAAAATATCTATTTTCTAATCAAAACTTAACTAAACTGCAATTTTTCAATATATTAATTTAAGAAGAATGTTCTGATATTAATAATGTATAAAAATAGTTTGTGATATATGGACATCAATGTATTGTAAATGTTTGACTCTGTTTTTTTATTAAAATAAGTTATTACTCAAGTTATTTGAAAAGTGTCATTAAAAAATTGAATAATTTATTTTGATAGGGCTGACAAACAATCAGGACTTGAGGTTTAGATTAGTTTTGAGCTTGCCGATGTTTCGGCCTAAGCATGTGGATCATTATCAGAGAAATGGATACAAACTTACAGCAAAAAAAAACTTATAGAATATATACTGTCTAGTCTAGCATCAAAAACTCTATAGCATTTTTATATTTCTTAAGACAAATGTATTTATTATCCACATTTAAAAAAAAGTCAAAAATATCCATTTCTAATTTATTTTTTAGTGTAATATACTCGTATTACTCACCAATAGATCCTGCAGCTAAGAGCAGAATTAGGCCTAAGCGGACTGGTCCCTGATTTGACCACCCCATCTTGGTAAGACTCACTACAAGAGACAACAATGAGGATGTCAGATGCCTTATATAGACTTCCCCCTCTTGGAATACCACTCTTTATCAGCACAGAGGATTCTATTTGCTTTTCACCCTCCAAATCATTTCAATCTTTTTAAGATAACAAAGATAGATCTATAAAATTACCATTGGAATACACGTTAAAAATGCCTGTGATTTAATAAAAATTTCATTCTAAAATGGTAAAATTAACAGTGAAGCAATTTAATAATTCAAAGCGTATACAATTAATATTATTTGTTTTTTGTGTATTTTTGTTTTCAAAGTTTCTCTGCAATAAGGATGTCAATTTAATATCCATGAGTACTACACATAATTATTATATCATGTAAAGAACAAGTGAAAAAAACTTTTACAAGATATACCTTAATTACTTTAAAGGTTGTATTAATTAAAATATTCAGACAAATAAACGAAAATGAAAGAAGCATTGTATTAAAAACAATAATTAAATATTACATCTTCTGAAATAATAAAAAAATTTCTGTTTATATTTCAACTACTTTCTTTCCTTGATAAATTATATAAATATTAATAATCAATTTAGTTTTGTTTTTGAAGTGATTGTTAGATAAAGATAGGCTCTTCAGCATGACTTTACTTTGGAGGGACCAATAATTTCACAACTCCTAATAGTTATTCCTTACAGTTTGATTTTGAAAAGATTTTAATTTAAAATGAGAGATTTATTAATATTTCATGCAAGAAAATTAATTTTCTAAAGTAAACAAAAAATAAAAATCATTATGGAAGGGTTTTGAAGTACCTCCTCCTTATCCAGTCAGCCCAAAGGATATTATTTTTAATATTTTATGTATTCTTGGAGTCAAACTTATTAATATAATTTAAAGAATTTTTAGTAGAATTTTATACCCTTTATTTTATTCGTAACTTAATTGCATTATTTGGTAAAAAAAAACAAAAAAAAAAAACACTTCTACATTAACTCCACTATCAGCTGCCCTGAACTTAATTAATTTTTATCTGGAGAAAATTTAAAAAAATAAATCTTATTCTTTGAATAATTTAAACTTTATACTTTTTCACAAAACAAAATAAATCTAGTTATTAAAATAGAATTCAACTTAAGAAATACTTCAAGTAGATTGGTAAATCGGTTCTTTGTATGTTTTGGTTATATAATTAATAGTAACATCATATATAATAATTACAATGTTTTCGTTTGTCTAATGACTTGTATATTTTTATTTTAAAAAGCCAATAATTTGACAATATATTTAACTGTTTTTTAAAATAAATATAATATTGAAGGATTAGGGATTAATATGTCAACATCATCCTACTAGAATATTTCAGTCAGAACTCCTGTACTTCTAGAAAGTATTTACTTCTTTAAAGAACCAGACTGCAATAACTATTATGTCTATAGTGTGATCATACCAGCTGATCAAGGACTACCAAGTGTTGATTGAATAAACTTCTCTTTGTTCAGACACCTGCAAGGTAATTGCAGGAAATGTTACTTCATCAATAAAATAAATGCTAAAGGTTTACTTTAATATCAGTTGTGGTAAAATATTTTGATTCATTTTAGTAGGTGACAGTATTTCAATTTTAAATTTTACAATCGATAAAATAAAATAAAAAAAGCTCTTTTTTCTTCAATTAATGGAGCTTAATGAACTCACATCAATGTGTGATTTAGGCACAAGAGATATAAGTAGGAATACAAGATACAACCTAACATTTTTCTTAAGATTTCACAAACTATTATATAAACATTTATATCATTCAAGTATCACTTAAACACCATTTCATATAGTCAGTTAGTTTATTTATTTTTTCCAAAGTAATTTTCGTTATACATATGAAAAAAAAAGGTTTTGGGCTGAAAAAAAGGGGATTCAGCCAGAAAGATTTTTTTTTTTTTATATATTACGATAATTACTTCGGAAGAAAGAAAGAAACTAAGTACCTATATGGAATGGGGTTTAAGTGGTTCTATTAAATGTAATTAGACGAACAGTAATAGTTATAGAGATTTTTTTTTCATAAAACATGGTTATATTTTGCCATTTGGGGGGCAGGAGAGGAGCGGGCTTCAGCTTGAAAGCTTCCCCTCCCCTGTAGACCCTCCTGTGGTAACCAGGACAAAACTCAACAACAAATTTGAGATTTATTTTGTGTGTCTACCAGAAAAAACTCAACTCTCAAAGATAAAGATTGAACCAGCAGTATCTTTTTTGTCACTATTGTGGCAAAGTGGTGTCCAACTTATATTCCGCGGTATCATGCAATGTTATTATAACTGTTATATTTTTAGACTAGCACTGACACATGCTTCTGCAATGTACAGACACGACAAACATTTAACCACACAGTGTTATTATTGCTCTCACAATATTCGATAGTATTCAGAGAATAGAATTTCGAAAGTAACCAACTCAAATTTTAGTTGTCACTGCTTTAAATTAAAACTTTAACAATTACCATTTTGAGGTTGAAGAATTAAATGAAAAAATTACATTTTATTTTTTAACTGTTAGACCGGACCTAAATAAGCTATTCGTTTTAGCAGGGGGTTTGAATGTGAATCATAAAAGTGGATATAATTTTAAGTAAATTAAACGTCTGAAATAAATATTAGGTCATAGCCCTGGAATCAGGGCCCAAAAAGTGATCTTATCGCAGGTGAAGGTTTGAGTGTAAATTACAAAACTATATATGCTATTCTAAGTAAAATGAACTTTACTGCTTCGCCACTTCAGAGCACGTGCTTTAAAAAACGACGGCTATTTAAAGAATATTAGGCCACTAACTTGAAGATCGAAGCGAGAAATATATTGCAAAAATTTGGGAAAAGTTTTTATTCGTTTTAACATGCATACATAGGGGTTCAAACATATAAAAGACAAAATTCCTTACGCGGACCACCACTAGCGGATGCAAGATTTCATTTTGGGGAGGCTTCAGCCCGAAAGCTTTTATTTTTTTTCTTTATATAACGATAATTACTTTGGAAAGAAAAGAAAGAAAGACTAACAACCGAACAATAATCCTTTAAGAGACAATTTTTTAACATTTTTTACCATAAAACATTTTTACATTTTTGCCATTTGGTGGGGGGAAGGAGGGCCTCAGTCCGAAATCCGCTCCGTTGATCCGCCTGTGCTGACCACCAAGAGAAAACTTTTTTCAGCCAAAAAAGCCACATTTGTTCGATTTTTTCACCTATAACTTCTAAATGGCGAATGGAAGCGAAAAACGTACTCTTTAAGAAATTAATAAACGTTAAAATGTGCGTAGAACGAGTAGCCAACCTTAATAATTTGATTAAGTGTTACGGTAGAAAACCACAATCAACGGACACTGTTTTTACCGCATTAGTAATAAAATGAGACAAATAAATAAATGACATTACAACTTGGAAATTACTTCCATAAGACAAAAAACGTATAAAATAAAAGTTGTAGAGCATCAACTTCGCCAACAGTTTTAATGAAGGTTACATACTCCATTAAAAATCTGTAGTCGATGGCAATGAACACGAGCGGATCTACGGGGGAGGATTTGGGGCTGAATCCCCCTCCCCCAAAAGATGGTAAAATATAACCATCTTTTATGGAAAAAAATTATCTCTTAAAGTATTATTGTTCGTGTAATTACATTTAAAACGACTTTAGGAATCACTTAAACACCATTTCATATAGGTAGTTAGTTTCGTTATTTTTTTCCAAAGTAATTATCGTTATTTTTATTTTAAAAAAAGCTTTCGGGCCGGAGCTCTCTCCCACCCCCAAAATCAAATCCTGAATCCGCTATGTAAATCCTGAATATGTAATGAAAGTATGTGTGATTTCCAGAATTTCAATATTTCAACAGTATAGGTTTATATTCTCTGCAGCTTAGGATTTTGAGAAACGACGTTTAAAAAAGAAACTGAATTTTATGAATAAATAACGAATCCCAATTCGAGAGATATAAATAACCTACATCGAAATTTTTAGAAAGCAGAATTTGATGCTCTACAACCTTTATTCTATGAGTTTTTCTCATAGAGAAGTAATTTATAAATTGTAGTGCCATTTATTTATTTGTCTCATTGTTTGACAAATTTGATAAAAATCAGCGTTTGTTGAGCATGGTTTTCTACTGTACCACTTAACCAGATTATTAAGTCGAGGTATTCGTTCAACACACAATTTAACGTTCTTTTGTAAGTTGTTTATTTTTTTTTTAACATTTGACTCTTTTGATTTCCGCCATTAGTCTTCTCGCAGCATTCAGGCTATTCTAGGCGATAAACCGTGATCGTTTGGTTCTCTTATGTAGATATCCAGGGAGGATTTGGTTTATAATAACCGAACGCGATCACAAATCATTCCCTCTTCAGGATGGTTGGCAACATTTTGCAGACATCTCTATACGAGATACTGTTATTATCCCCAACCCCCAATCTGGAGGACCAAGGATCTATGTTGTTAGACAAAGGGGTCGCTAACCATCCTGTGAATCTCAGCTTGGGAGCGTTACCGTCCCCATCACCAACGGATCCAGGATTAAATTTTGGGAGAGGGCTTCAGTAGAATTTGAATACACAATAGTTATGAATTTGTACAGAAGAAATAGTGTTAAGAAGTGTAAATAATTGGAAGGGAAAAAAGATTTTTGTTATAAAAATATAAATATATACTGTCGTGCATGGCCAACGTTCTCTTTTGGCCAACATTCTGAAAAATAAATAAATAAATAAAAAAACAGGTGTGGCATTAAAACGGGAAATTTTGTACCTTAAAATAATGATATTGGTTTTTAAAAATCTCAGGAAATAAAATAGTTTCCGAAAAACTGAAGGATTTTTAGTAAGGAAAAACATATTATTATTTTAGCACAAAATTTTACTTCCACTTATTAATTTGTGAAATATACATTAAGGAAAAGTATTGTGATCATGAATAATTTCGAATTTGAGTTTTTAACGGAAATACACATTTAAGGTCTGATGGGTCCAA